AACCATATTCACAGAAAACAAAATATTCACTTACCTTTTGCTCCCCTTTTTTAAGAGAAATCCTAATACAGGAGATAATGCAAAAGTTGCGTAATAAACAAAAACAATACACACCATGCTTTTCAATCTGCAGTCCACCATGCACAACAGGTCCCACCATGCCTAGTGCTGAAACCTTCATGCCCATCTTTGGGGTGCCACCTCTGGGAGAGGCTGGGGACCCAGGGTGCTGGATTTCTCCTTTAATGGGCTGAGGTGCAAGGTTGTCATTTAAGTCTTTAGTATCCTTTCCCACTGAATCTGCTGATTCAAACTTGGAGATCTTGCTAAGTAACTTGTTATGGCTTTTATTGTTACTCATTGTAGCAGGGTTTTCATCTTTTATAGAAATTTTCCCTACTGTCTCATCCTTATTTAGTCTTTTGGGTTGCATTGGTTTATCCTCTTTGGGTTCATCGCCATCAAAAGAAGAAAACTTTGCAAGTCTGTCTCCCAGCTTAGAACTTTCATGGCGAGCTGGCACCTTTGATTTATTGGAAATTTCCCTTGATTTAACAGACATGATCTCTTCCTTTTCCATTGAATCTTGGAAAATGGCAGCTCTGGATTTCAGACTTCCAGTAACTTTTATGTTTTTAGTTTTTGGAGGTGTCTTTCGTGCAACTTCACTTTCTGTTGTCTCCATGAATACTGATGCCTTTGCCAGAAAAGCATTTTGTTTCTGAGAGCATGGCAATTCTTTACCCTTAGGCTTCTCCATTTCCCTATTCATTGGCAACGTGGAAGCTGGTTTCATTTGGTCTGCATTCAATACAGATTTTGAAGGTGTTTGACTAGACCCAGCATGAGTATCAATTGAGTTTTTATCAAGCTTTTGTGATTCACTGAACCAAGGGACAACATGGCTTTGCTCAGATTTTTTATGACTATTACCCTCAACTTTGACAGAGTCAACAACCATATCTTGGGTATCTTTTTCATTTAACTGCTCAATTACTTGATCAGCTTGGTCTCTTTTTAAAGGGCTACTTTTAGTGCGACTGCCCTTGGACAGCATAGAGGTCCACAAGGGGATATCCTCCTCATCTGCTTCCCAGTCACGGCTGCCACTGCTGCTGCTGGTGCTCTTATGAGTAGAAAGAATGGGTAAAGACTCTTCTTGTTCATCTTTAAATGTGGGAACAGGCTCTTCTTGCACATCATCTTCTGCTTCTTTTACATCTTTCGTTTCAGTTGCAATTGCTTGGCTTATTTTAGATCTGGCAATGTACTCCTCATCTTCTTGACAGCTATCAACTTCTGTATCACTGCCAGAATCATCCTCTTCATCCTCAGAAGAAGATATGTTCCTAGGAACATCAGGAATAATAGTCTTATTTGTTTCTAACTGCATTTCAGGCTGATCTAGGGGTGAAGAGACACCAGCACCATCTGACTTCCCAAGTGACCTTTCAGCACTACTGTAAAGTTTTGTATCAACTGGCCTATCCTTTGCAAAAGCTTGAGCAGTTTTGTCCATGCTTATAGTGCTATATCTTCCAGTAGGTGCCTGCTGTTTCTCTAAATCCCTCCCTTTGTTTTTGTCATGTTCCTCGGCAGATGGAGAAGGCTTTTGCTCAGCGTCTGGTTCTCTCTTTCTCAAAACGCTTCTGTATGAGAATTTATTATCCTCAATCTTTTGTTCTGTTTTCTTTGATGCACCATTAATTTTTTGGTTATTCTTTTTCAGCACACTCCTGTACTGGACTTTATTTTCCTCTGTTTTTGGTTCTCTTTTCCCCAGTAATTTGTTTACTTGGTCTGGATTGGCATCGTAAGCCTTAGTTTCACATTTTTCGCTGCTGCCTTTTTTAAGTACATCTCTAAATGGGAATTTGTGTTCACTGGTTCTTGGCTTTTCAATAGATTTGTTGGGAACATTTTGGACCTTCTTCAGAACAACACTTTCCCTGAGAGCTTTTTTCCTTTTCAACAAATAATTTTTCAGAAGGTTTCTCAAAAGAAGATGCTCGCCTCTGCATATTTAAGGGCCCCTGGTCAGTCTTAAACTCTGTAATGTCTCCTTCTACAGATCCTGACCTCATTCTTGGTTCTATAAGTCTTGTCATGTCTGGGTTTTTGCTTATCAATTTTGTCTCTGTTTTGAGCATTTTATCAGAAATTCTATCAGCTGATTTTGGTGTAATTCTGGGCACACTATCAGCATTTTTGACTATTGGTTTTTCCTCTGTTTTTGGCTCCAATAACTCAACATTATCTTTATTTGGTTTGGCCTTCAAGTCCTTTCTTTCTAGTTGTCCATTTGATGTAACCTTTGTTTCCTTTGTGACACCAAATGCAACGCCTAATTCTGTCAACTTAGGTGCTTCGGACTTTGATGCTTGTTCAAACCTTGCTGCCAGGGCTCCAAACTTATTCCTGCTATTGGCAGGCAGATCTTTCAAAGAAGACCTTGGCACAGTAACATTTTCCACTGGCTTTCTCAAGGTATTGTCTTTCATCACCTTGGTGGAGATTGCTGTTGGTGCATGCTGTTCTGTATGCAAAGCCTTTGTTTTTGCCTCCAAATTTGAGCCACGATTATGACTATCCCTTGATAAGTAAGAGTTGGGCTCTAAATGATTCACCTGAGACTGTTTTGAAACAGCAGCATCCTGATTAGGTGACACAGTTTTTAGATTGACACCAAAATGTGAGGACGTTGTAGGCTCTGATGTACGGCGAGAAAACGTATCTGGAAGGGTTTTAGAACTTGGTTTGTTTGCCCTGTTGTGAATATCATATTTTTCTGGTTCAGATACTTCTGCATGGTTATGAGTTTTAATCTCAACAGCAGTGTGAGTCGTAGGTTGTTCTGAGCTGCTGGCAATTCTTGTGCTAGATGCATTGGCTGTACCCACTTTCACTGCCCCATACACTTGAGGTTGTCTTACAGTTTTTGGCAGTGACTGGTTCATGAACCTGGGGTGTGCTTGATCTATAGAGGGGACTATCTGTCTTGGATCTGCTTTCTGTGTATACTTTCTTTTTTCTCACTTCTGAATCATCTTTGTTATAGGATGCAGGGTCATTTGTCTCTGATTTTATAACAGCACCAATATATGCTGCTGCTCTGGCTTTGATTCCTCCTGTTTCTTTTGGAGGTGGCCATTCTTTTTCAAGTTTTTGGTGAGACTTGGGCTGAAAGGCAGACAACTGTTTTCCAGGTTTTTCACCATTACCATTTAGTTTATTCTGAGATCTCTTTGAGTATTCTGATATCCAAGGAGAATGGTCTCTATCTTTTGAGTCCATATTCAGATTCTGGGCAAGCTTGGTTGTTTTCTCTTCTTTTCCTAATCTTTGTGATAGCACACCAGTGTGTTTTCCACGAGTGGCACTAGTGTCACCATGTTTGTGGTCAACAAGATTTTTATCAGGGCTTTTTTCACTGTTGTAGCCAGATGTATATGATGATGATGATGAGGAAGAAAGTGATGATCTATTACTGCCTGGCTGTAGGTTGGTATCTATATGCACAGCAAATGTTGGCATTTCATCGGGCACTGGAACAACTTTAAAGGTGCTACTGTCATTGTGCATCACTTCTGTGACTGCACCATTGCAAATCTTAAATTCAATGGATGCTGATTCCTTTTGTGGGAAAAGTCTTTCTTCAGACTTTGATGCTCTGATCTTGGTTTGATAGGTGACAGTTTGTCCAGGCCTATTTGGAGTATTATCAAAGTTGCTTTTCTGCGTTTGTGAATTTTGTTCAAACTTTTCCTTCAGTTTTGAATACTTGTCTTGTCCTCCATCTTGATTTGATCTGCTTGGGAGGTTCAAATGACCTTTTTTCCACTTTGAAGCAGCAGATTCATTGCTACCGTGATCTATTTCATGTCCATTCCACTTATTAGAGCCCGTTTCATCAAAACTCTTACTAGAACTTAGATGAATTCCTTTGGCTGGATAAACTTTCCCTTTAGTATCCACTTCCAATGAAATTTCTTCAAACTTCTTTTTGGCAGCACTTGAAGGATTTGGGGAAACAAACACAGTTTTTGTAGTTGATGCAGTGGTGGGAGGTGGTATTAAAACATGCAAAGGTTGCTTGGCCTCAGCCGCATTAAACTTTTCCAACCTGTCTTTCAAGGAAGGTGCCTGTATGCCACTTTTGCCAAACTTATGCGCCATTTTGAACTCCGTCTTGCTGGATGGGATGACTCTAGGTTTGGGGCTGGGATCAACTGCTTCTAAAATAAACAGTAAACCACATGCAAAAAACAGACCAACCATGCATCATACCAAAGGTAAATATCAAATTTAGGAATGATCTTTAATCACTTAACTTGCAAACAATCTTGAAAATAATCAAACTGTATGAAAGACAACACACATGCTTTTCTCTTAGGAATAAATTCTAAATAATGTTCTGTAAACTTCATGCTGTGGTGAACAACAATTGCCATACTTCTCTATTGTAAAATATGAAGATGAAAAACAACTTGCAACACTACATAACTGTGCACCTGCTCGTATCAAAGCTATAGAAAACACAGCATTACTCATGTTCATGCCCAGGACATGGTACACAGTGGGTGGAGTGTGGTTTTATAAATGCAATATTGCATGAATAATGACAGTAATTTGTAATGGAGCGTTTCAGGCACACAGTAGTTCCCTTACTATTCCCTGCTGTAATTATGGGCTTTAGAACAGAGAGGGTGGCTATTTTCTCATAACTTTTAACACATTCTTATGAAATTAGTCAGCAGGTTGCTGAGAACTTAACCTGATTTTTTTTCAGTGCATAAAATATATTCCTAAAATTGTGAAGCATTTTGCCCACACATATTTACTTTTCAATTTTTCCATTCCATAACAAAAGGTATTCATATGCCAATCACAACTTTTTTACATTATTAACAAAAAACTACTGACTTCCTTCTTAGGCTCATCAGAGGCATAATCTCATCCCTCTGATAAGTCTGTACATTTATCAAGTTAGGCACACATACCTTGGACTTTTAGAGTGCACTTGCATGTCACTGAGCCCTCCTCATTGACTGCGGTAATGCTGTACTCCCCTTCGTCATCCAGGTATGTCTCTGTGAATTTTAACCTACAGGTATCTCCTAAGTGACTCAACTCTATCCCCTACAAAACAAAAATTACAAAGTTTAATGAAAAATAAATAATAATAAAAAAGATTGAAGATACAGTGACATAATTGACTCGGAACAATATAAATCCAAGGCCACAACCACAACATAGCATTTCAAACCCATGCTTATGAACCAACCTATGGTAGTAGATTCTTGGCATTACCCCTTAACATTAAAATGATCCTCTAAAACACTATGTAATAATCTTATGACAGTATAACACAGTTATGAGCATTAAGTTACAAACTATCTTAAAAAAAACTTTCCTGTCTGACTGCACTAAACCTCACACACAACACAATGCTTCAATCATTAGGAAGAAATCTTACAGGATTTGTTATACAGTCCCACCAACATCTAAAATCTACTGCTTTCCTGAGGAACTGAAATACTTGGTAACAGTTTCAACAAGATCCTTGAGATTAACCTACACTTAACTATGCTATCTAATATATTTGTCAAATAATTGACAACCGCGTTATCTTATTCAAACACTTGGAGAACTCACAGAAGAGAACACCAGTGAATTTCTCAAATGTTTCAGACCCAAGTCACCGTCTGCCTGATACCTAACAAAAGTATCAACTAATATCAAAGATCACAAAACCAATCAGGTCATTAGTTTCCTTAATCAGCTTGGAATGTTCAAATTAACATTTGATCCTTTCTATGCTTACTTTAAAGAAATGGGTTACTCATTTTTGCTTCAGTGTGATGACTGATATTTTAATGAATGAAAGCATTTTTGTGAAGGGGAAATTGTTTACTTTACTCAGTTTTGAACATTTCAACAGTCTACTTTCTTGTTCCCCCCCCCCCCCCCAAAAAAAAATATAATTTAATAGCTAACTAGTATCTTGCCTGTGAAATATAGGATCTATCAAATCACTGACAAATCCACAAATACTTTCCCATTTAAGTTATGACACAATCAAGTTGTAAATGTTATTTTAAACAGGTACAACAGTAAAAACTTACATTCTGTACATCGAAATTAAATATCTATGTAACAACCACCAGCATGGCAGTAATTTTATCAGTTGTGCTCACAGCATATATATCCTACCTTTCTAAAACAGCAAAGTAACAGTGCATAATTCCTTTGACTGTCTCCTTCCTTCCTTTAACTCAATTTATTTGGTCCCCACAACATGCCTGCTAGATAAGTAATCCAAACTAGTACAGTATAGAGTGGGACTGAGTCATAAGTGTCCTCTCTTTAAAAACCACTACAAGCTGCCATAAGGTGCATTCAGAACCATTGTAATTCAAGCTGTAAATGGTCTAACTAATGAAACTAGACAATCAGATTGCTTATCATATCTAAAAACTTCTACATAGTAATTGTGGTCTCCATGGGGGCCTAATAATAAATTTTACCATCTGGTTTCATCAGTTACACTTTTTGGTTTAATTTAGACAGGATTTGAACACACCCATAGAAACTTCCCATCCTGTATTGTCCCCAGTCATTTTTGATTTACAGCTTGAATGCTAATGGTATGTTAATGTAACTGTAACTCTAGGATAATAGTCTCCACAGGCTATTTTGGAGGAGATTTTTTTCCCTTTTTTTAGTAAGTCATTTAGTAAATAATGACCAATAAGGTTACAGACCGTGTGGCAGACTTAGAAGGTTATTTTGACTCTAGCTTTTGTCTCTGGAATCCGAGGTCTGACAAGGGGGCACAGCTAATAACCGATCTCATTAGGTAAATTGAGGTACCTAGGAGGGGGAGAGGGGTATTTGGTTTCAATCTGATTAAAATCTATCGTCTCTAACTTAACAGAAAAAACATACATCAGCTTTGTGTTTACATACAATTCCAGTTAACTGCACCTGGTCTGTCCCATCTTATTACTCTCTCAGCATTTCTCCAATGAATTTTCATACCACAGATTTTTACTACCAATGAATTTTTACTACATCTATGAGACTAATGGCAGACATTAAGTCGCAAAAAAGAAGATGCCTTGGTAAGATAAATAGGGATTATTATTAAGCTTATTCACATAATTTTGTCTCAAAGGTTATCCCTTGGTGACCACAGGAATGTGACATACACTTAACTCTGTACCATGACCAATAACGGCATTTACCCATAAATAATGGTTCATGGTTCTTAATTTTGACCACAAGACAATTTATATACAAAAACATGGATCGCTCCAATTACTCAAAATAGTGCCTCATTAATCCTTAGTATAATAGTAAATATGAATATAAAATGCTGACCAATTTCGGCAAAGAAACAAAATATCAAAATAAAGTTAAATACCAAAAATTAGGAAAATGTGAATTAGAACTTTTGGATGTAATTTTATCAGTCTGTAATAGTCTTTCCCCACCCCCAATATATAAGATCAAAATTATATTATCATACCCTGTCTAGGGATTGTTTGTCACATTCCCATTCTTACTGTCTGTTGCCATCTTCTTTTCCCCACATAGAATGCTCTAATCGTGCTCAACAACATATCTCTGCACATTCCATGCCACCTTCTCATGTGAACAGGCGGGCTGTATTTGAAAATATTTAAACACTATGTCCAAAGCTGGACCAAAAGTTTTGCAAAATCACCCAATCGACATTCCAGCATGCAAGCATGTTTACATTTTTGGAATTAAAAACAAATACTGCAGACAATATGCCCTATGTACCCCAACAATACCCATCACAACACTGCACTTAGATTTCCAATAGCCTGACTGACCAGTTCTAATTCAATTACCCCTAGCTTGATTAGTCATCAATAAAAATCCAATTTAATATGCAGAAAACCAATTGTGAGTCCCTGCCTACAAATCTTCCCCACGCAGGCCCATAAGCCTCCACAGATGCCAGTGTCAGATAAGGAAGATGAGATAGTGTGATGAAATATCAATGACAAGCCTATTTCATTCATCATACCCCATTCCTGCGCTACTCATGAGCATGGTTGCACACTTGCATACCCCTCAATACACTGGTTATGTCCTTATATACATAATATCATCCTTAACACTCACACTGAGATTAAATTTATTTTAGTAAAACAGTAGAATAATTAAAGCCAAATCAAAATTTTTGGCCTAATTGATACAGTAAGATTTATTCAGTGGACGCAAATTTTTGTACAGTGATAAAAATGATGAGTCATTAATTTCAGAAAAAAAAAATCAAATAAAGTATTTGTCTTTTAGTAATTTTGGCATTTTTTCATGTCAACAATTTTCGTGTATGAGTTTTTCTTTCCAAAACATATGACATCATTGCAATATTTCTGTGTGCTCCATTTAATAATAATCTTTCACTAAATAACTGGCAACATGCACTGAAAATGGCCTCTTAGCATGTCAGCAGTGAGGAAAGGCTCCTATGTAGACTCATCCCAAGTTATAATATATCCTATTCTTACGTGAACATCTTTCAAGTCATGCTCATATATGGAGATAGGACTTAGCTTGGGTCACAAAGCAATGGACTGGTTCACATACCAAACCACTTATCAAGTTTTCTGTTTTTTCTCTGAATGTAAAAGTGAGACTAGTACTAAAACATTTGACTTATGAAGGTAAAATTCCTCACTTTTTTCCAGGAAGGTCCTTTTTTGTGTGTTCCAGACTAAGGTAGCTGGAGGGCTCATAGTGACTCTCCTTACTGTACACGGACATTTCAAAATGACTTTTGTTTTTGTTATTTGCTCAGAGATAAGGTGAGGGTTTTTAAATTCAATTCTAAATAACTTAGTTTTGGTTTTTTAAACTTTAGTGAATTCAATTCAATCTTTTCCAAACTAAAATATATACATTTTTTCTATTTAAAAGTCTACATGCAGATTGAAACAAAAACTCTCAATCTACTTGAATTCTATAAATCTGAATATGTTTATGAATACCTGTACTTTCTCCCCTCCCTGGACTCCCACCAGTTCACCTTGCCCTCTCTTGTTACATTTATATAACGTATAATTGCATGAGGCAGTTTTTAGTCAAGTTTTCATTCAAGTTCGATCAACCTATCTTAGTGCAAACCATATTAGCAGACCATCTGATTTTGCTTGGTCCAGCTTAAGAAACCAATCTAACAGCATACAAATAACCATAAACAAGAATTCAATTTTTACATTTAAAATCATGCCCTCCCTTACCTAAGAGATGGGTTATCCTAAAATAGGCTTATTCATCTAGACTTGGAAACACGACAAACAACTTACATACATGTACCACAACAGCCACTCTCCCAATACAATATTAATTTCGCTAAATAATTAATTATCCATCCTACTCTTTCTGCCTGTTTAAGTCCCCCTTTCCCAATAAGGCAACTAAGGCATCATCTAGGTCCCACTACTTTTATTGAATTTCTTACTTTAGTGATAAATCATCAACTGAGATGATCTGGCAAGTGGAAGGGATTTGATTGCATTTACTGGTTTTTTGTATATAATAAGACTTGTTTTTAAATTCACAGACCTCTAAATGTGACAAAGAGAGAAATTCTGACACTTTTATCTCCATTACTTTAGTAATCATTAGTCGATGTTAGTACTTACAGTTGTAAAACTTGTGTCTTTTTAATGGTGACAGATGCTGACACTTGTTTTGACTACTTTGGAATTTTGCAAATACTAATACTTCACAGTTCATTTAAGCCTCTTGGGCATATAAGGGATTTTACAGTTACCAAATAAGGGGTTGCATTTTACAAAGATAAACAATCGACACTTTTATTTGATCCCTTAGGAATTTTTCTAGTGTTTATTCTCTTAAGCCAGTCTTGCCACTTGGACCTACATTAACCCCAAATCACTTAACATTTGTGTCAAATTATGGATACTCATTCCTTAACAACAAACACCTGACACTTTAATTTTGATTATTAAGTAATTTTTCAAGGGCTAATATGGTTCTACCTGTCCTGCCACTTGGATAAAAGTAACCAATTGTGACAGCGACAGCCAACACTAAAGGTGGTCAGCTTAATGCTCTCTCCCATTGTTCGCCCAGTGGTCAGACAGTCTTCAGGAATGGCCTCCATTAACAGGATTAAATAAAAACCTATCACTTACAGGTGAAAATAACAAGTTTTTAAACAGCTCCACATAGTAACAGAACTTGTCTGACATTTCCTATGGTGTAAACATACAGTTGAGATTACTGTACCAGACAAGTTTATGTGCACGTCCCTTCAATAAAAGGATCTCCTCACATCAACAATGTCTACCTTTTCACTTCATCAATGTAATGGCGTCTAAACTTAGACTGAATATTTTCATTTTCTTTGTTTTAGATTCTGGTCACAAAGACAAGCCCCTTGTTTAAATGCCACTAAAGATATTTACATAAATGTAATAACTTTTAAATGGGCCTGCATCAAAGGGTCCTGCATGTATTAGGGGTTTATGATCAATGGATATTGCCAGCACTTTTCTCACATACATGGCTTAGAAACTGTCCTAGTCTGAGCTAGTTTACGTCTGGTGTTTTTTCTCTTTCTGGCAGGGAGATCTAACTTTTAAAAGTTAAAATTGTTTTATAAAGGCCCTTGTTAAAATACATTGTGATATTTGGTTTTAGACTTTTTTCATATGGGGCAGTGTCAACTTTCCAAGTATTCTTTTTCTCTTGTAGTTATGGTCAATTGCAGGCCTATATAGACCACAGAGATAAGGTAAAACAAGGAGTAAAACTGATCATAATAACACAAAAACATTTAAATTTTAAATACAAATAAGACAGTCTCTCTGAAAATTCAAACAAACAATCAGACACATCACAAACCTTTGTGGCACGGATTTCCCTTCCATCCTTCCTCCAAGTGACCTCAGGTTTGGGAGTTCCATGCAGTTTACACTCTATGACAGCTGGTTCACCCTCCACACACTCCAGATCCTGGAGTGTTTTGGTGATCTGTGGTTTCTCTCCTTGTTTTCTAAAATCAAAAATAATAAACAATTGTAAATCTGTGCATTAAAACTGCTACTAAATGGTATACAGCAGCACATATGGAATTTCTCCTAATTCAGGCCCTGGAGTAGGTTGCTGAGCAGCCTCCTTTCCAGCTGTCCAGAAGACAACAATGAGAAATTTACCTGTAATCTCTTTCTTTGATGTGTAAAAAACTGTTTTCTATAGCACTTTGTGTGAAATTCCACTGAAACCAGCTGCGGTCTCTCTCTCCTTATTGGCACATATAAATTACTCCATAAAAAGAAACTGCTTCTTTAGTGTCAATGTAAGAAAAGTTCCCCAGTGGCCCTGTGTGTCTGTGCAGTGCCACTGTGTACTGTGATGTGGTGTTGTGAAGTTGATGCAGGGAAAGGTTGAACAGCACAGAGGTTGGAGGTCACTGACGCACCTCTCTGCATGAAGTATGCATGGCAGGTGCTAGTTCCCTGAGCTAGTGACTTGACATTTAACATAAACAACTGACTAACAGTTTAGCTTGTGATATTAACTATATATGGTAAAGTACTCTGGTATTACCATTCATGCTTTTCTTATATTCTGATAGGAAAAAATGAAACGCAGGACAAAAATTTGGATCATATTGGTTAAATTTGTGTTCTTTTCACTAAAAGAAAAGAAAAAAGGCTAAAGAGAGAAAAATGATAATTTAATTGGCATACCAACTAACAGCATTTATGTTTATCTAAAGGGGTTTCTTTTTCTTTTTTAATTTGACTACTTTCCTAATGATGGGAGTTATTAACACATGTAATGTTTCCAATGGAGAACAGATTTATTTAAAAAAGTAAACGACAGGTTTTTCACAGTGAAAACCACATAAATCTATTATATTTGTGGTGTGCCCTTGTTAAATTTAACTGACCTAACACATTATAGAACACTTCACACATTTTTCAACTATTAATCGTCCTTTCACAAAAAATTGGGTGCCAAGTTAAAAAGTATATTAAAAATATTAGTTGTAAAATCTACAATAATAAATGATTTCTGAATTTATCAACAAAAACCTATTACCTGAGAAGACAGTAACTATCAAGAATATTAGGAATTATGTCCTGTTAAGATGCAATGTTTTATGATGATCTTCAGGGGAGACACATGACAAAGGTAGCATTATATGCGAGCACATAATTTGAAATTGAACTCATAATTCAAAGCTGTTACAATTTTGAATGGTTTGTAGGTCTTTAAACAATTCATCACTGTAAATGTAAAATCACTGCTAAATAAGTTACATTAATGAAATTACCCCTGACTCCATCTCTACCCAAACCCTTCATCATTTTTACTATTCATACATCATATTTGATTCCCTTCCCATTTAGTCTCTTGACAAATATATCACCATTTTAAAGAGGTTTATCTGAATAGTTAAAGACATTTTATTGTATGGAAGTGTCTCTGTATCTAACGGTCCACCATATATCATCACGTAGCCACAGCACATGGCAGTATCTCCCAGAAGTGACTTGATTTGACAATGAATCTCTGAGCGGCATCCATCATTTTGCACTTGCATACTAAGTCACTCTTTCACATGCAATGCCACTTCAGAGTCTCATGGCGATCATGTTTTTAAGAGATGAGAGGATTTCCTAAGTGGCAAATGAGTGTTTTTATCTTTTACTTATTTTACTTATCTGGGTGATATGAAAGGGTATTTCTTGGTCAGATAAAAACTAGGAGATTATTTCCATCACTGTTTATCAGATTATAAATAAAAAACAATTTTCTTATGACTTCTCGTTCTGCTTCAGTGATTCTCCTGTTATATCTAGGATACCAGGACTCAAAGTTAGCTGGATGACAAGGAAAATCAACACCACACAGGAAGTGCCCTTCTTCTGGTCATTTATCTTTAGCACAGAATAATTTATAAGGTAAGGGTGATGATAAACTCTAACCTGACCAAGATGACCCACTACAATGACCACCACTGAGACAGTTCATCAAGGGTCAAGGGGTAGAGTTACTACACTGACCACTGTAATTGATTTTTTTTGTAATTTATCTTACAGATGTATCTGATGTCATTTAAAAACAGACCACAAAAATGTGAAAAGAGTGAGAGCTAAAGTACTAAAAATCATCCTTCTGTTATTATGATCATTAAACTGGTCCTCTTCAGTGATCTGTAAAAAATATACTTCTCTTTTTCTGTTTAGTTCTCTCTAATATACTATTCCTACTCTGTTTAGGTAAATACTGTATTTTGAACATAAGTCATCAAACAAATTATCACTTTAAAAATGAAACTTGGCATTTGATATACATAAGTCAAATATTTAAATTTTAATACTCATTTCTTCATGACTCTTAAAAACATTTTATCAAAATTCCAGTTACCATTATAACAGTTGCCAAAAGCAATAATTTCACTTTTCTCAAAATATCTTCTTCACCACAAGAAGGTGTAGAAAGAAAGTTATATGTTACTCAAAGTGATGTAAAAACTGCGTATATATATGCCTCAAGTAGGCAAATTAAAAAGGGGAAGTGTACATGATAGCTTCACCTCAGTCTCTGTCTCCACCCTTCCTCTTTTATTACACTTTTGTCTTTCAATTCAGCCAAGTGCCCTTAGAGAAGTCATTAATATTATAACTTTACTTTTCCCCAAGGTGCATAGGAGAATGATTGATTTAGATAGGGTGATTTAGGTTACTTGATGGCAAAGCCATTCTTTCAGAACTGTTTTCTCGCCTTAGGAGTGTTGTCACATAGGAAAATAAATTGTTGTCATTGTTAAAATAAATGCACTGATGGAAGCACTAGCTCTGAGGGAATGCATGCTACACTATCATTATTCTCTGTAAAGGATCTTCCTCATTTCTGTGCATGTTTTTACTGTGTTTACATATGTATATTGGTACAATACATGCATAAAGTATAATTTTTGGTAAAGCCTATTTTGTAAACAAAACTAAACACAATCAGCAACATAAAATAGTAAATGAGATTGACAATTGAAGAAAAGTTGAACAGAGATTTTTAAAAGATGTTTTCTTTAAAAAAATAATTTTAAAGTAGAACCAACTATATGATCATGTCTAAACTATTCTCTGAATATTGACAGGATATATGTGGCATTAAGGAAAGTCATGGTTTATGTAACAAAAATGCCTCAGTGACCCAAAATGGAGCCCGATGTGTATCAGCTGATACAAAGAATCCACAAATTCCAAGTATTAAACTGAGAAACACAATGTCCAGGAAGGAGGCGGTTTTTGACAGTCATATCCAGTCTCGGAATATGTCTAGACTGTATCATTAACGGTAATGAAGTGCAGTTCTTGACATGAGAATATAATTAAAGCATATTTTTCTGAAAGACCAGAACTTGATTAAGTTGTGTGATATCATGTTGAAAATGCCATTAACCAAACCAACAAGCAGACAAACTGCATATTTCAGGCATCATCTGGGGAAACAAACTTCAGGAGAATGGTGGCTGTGAACAGTGGTATACTGTTACTAATTTCCAAGTCTAGACTGCATTATAAACAGTGATATAATACAGGGATGGTAGGAGCATTTCAAGCATCTGTTAACAGGTGCTTCATGTCAGAGCAGGTGGCCAGATATACCAGGCAGTGTTCTAGGAATTAGAAACAGTCTGATACTACCTAAACTGAAAAATTCCACAAGTCAACTGTTGAAGTATGTAAATAAAATGATTATTTCCACATGAAGTGTAGATATTTCAAGACCACTGTTGAAAAACATTATTTTTGTGTAAAGGTGGGACAGAAGATAGACACAACATGTAACTTTTTAGTTCAAATACTTTAGGTGCATCTTTCCACTACATTGAAAAAAATTAAATAAAAATAACAAAAAGAGTTCTTTTTGCTTCTTAGTTTCAATGTACAACATGTTCCCAATGAGTTCTTTTCCAATGCCTGTATTACATCACTTCAACCCCCAGGAAATCACAGGCGACAAAGTAAACAATCAGTTAGAAAATTGAATTACCTTCTCTGCATTGTTGGCAGTAATTAAGCAGAACACGAAGCAACAAACAGCTCTTTAATATGCACCTCAGGTACAACAGGTACAACACAGCTAACTGTACTTATTAGTAATTAAGTATTTGAGTTTCTTGGCTTGGGATCCATAAAATCATCCTGAGTTTAAGAGTAAAGGAAGAATCTTTTATATACCACAACACACCATGGTGTTGGTTATGAAGGCGAATGAAACCAGGGGGCTTGGAAGAGAGTCAAGAAAAGAAAAATGTTTTTCCTGCTGAGAAGTGATCAGGACTTTTTACCTGCCAAACAATGACTGACATTATCAGCTGTATTGGTACTTCTGAACTTAAAAACAATGCTAAGCATTCTTTGTCTAAAAAAACTCCTTTTTATGGTTTGGAAGCAAATTGTGTCAACAAACCAATTTTTGTAAAGAAAAAAGATACAGCAATGTAAAAAATCCAAAATCTTGCAAAGAATACATAATTTGTCAACTCTTACCTACTTTAGATGAAGTATCACATTTTCAATATGGCAGCAAACATTTATCATAGAATTCCATGCTGGGTGTCCTATAATAAGGTGTCACTTCTGTGGGCCATATGGACATTCTTATGTCATACTACACACATACCTTAACCATATGAAACATTTAATTGCAATTTTTGCATACATAATTTCACCACATCAAAAGATGCCAGTGATGTCAGTGTATCATGACAGTCTATGTGACATGCAAGAATGTAATAGCAGATTAGAATAAATTTTTTCATAAAGCTTTTGAACTATGGAAAGTATAAAATTGAGAATAACCTCTTTCAATAAAAGACTATGTCGCCCTAATGAAATGTGAGGTAAGGTAATATTCTAATAAATCAACTGTTGGATCTTCAAAAGTAATTGTCACTAGAGTCATAATTGTTGTGTATAGTGTAGGGTGTAATGCCTGTTATATCATAAGTAGGGTGTCATGTCTGTAATATCTCAAGTAGTGAGTCTGTGTTTGAAGTTACAGCGTCTCATTAGGTAAGTGTCATGCATTTTTTAAAAAATCTCACGAGGAGTGTGAGGTATTTGTACAAACATATTTATAATTTTTTAATAAAAAATTCTTAGAACATACTTATAATATATCCTCTTTTCTTTTCAAAGATTATTCTAATTACATCCTTATGTAAAATCAATTATTTTTTTTTACAAATAGTTGAAGATGAAAAGTTTTTTATTTCATTTTCATCTCCTGTCAGCAGGAAGTGATGTCAACTTACCTCCATTCCAGTCTTGAAACATATGCCATCTCGTCCTCGTTTTCTTCCTCATCAAGGTCTGAAAAATTAAACAGTTCTTCTTATATATCATCTGAGTGAACAGAAAAAAAACCTGTCCCAGTTTTTTCACATGGAAAAAAAATCAGCAATTGAAAATAGATGCTCATTTTCATTCTCTCTTGTACCTGTAGTGTTTTTTCCCTATTCAATAGTTACATACATTATAATATTATGTATCCATCAATCAACAGTTTCTCCCTCAGCAGTCCAGGTGCCTTGAGCAGTCACCTGTAGTGAAACAGGGGGAGGGGTGCAATAACTTATGGACCTTGGACTCAATATCAATATTCTGTTTATGATCATTATCAAATGAGATAAACAAAAGTCAGGATAAAAATCTGCACAACATGAAATATCACCACATAACACTTCAAAAGTTCAAGCCATCTTTTTGTTATCTAAATCATGAAGGTATTTACTAAACACAGAAGACAGGAAAAATATCTGAAGAAAATATTCAGTTTGAAATATCTCCTATAAAACATTTCAAAGTTCAAGTCATGTTTTTGTATATATCTAAATCACAATGGTAAGACAGGCACCAAGAAAAACCAGGCCATAAAACAGGTTTTGTGCATAATAAACATTTGAAAGGCAAGAATGCATAAGAACATGGCTGTAAGTTGAGTCATCCCTGTGTTATAATACACAGTTAACATTGTGTTGCTATCCCCAGGCCCTGTTTACTCTTTAACCCATTATAATGAGTCTAAACTATTAGCCACAAAAGTATTTATTTTCTCTATCCAAACACCCATGTAGCTTTTCTCTATGTATTTTTACTTATCCAGCTTTGCATAGTGCACAGGAATCACAACCAGATAAATTCTAGTCAGGATTTAAACACAAGGCACATTAGTACTCTTCAAATACAGGTGGTGAAGCCAGGACTAGGACATGGAGAAAACACCTTTAACATTGCAGTAACAAGCCTATCAAGTTTTACACCCATGACTGTATAATTTGTAGCCTTAGACTAACAGAAGCATCGTTTTTACCACAGGAGATTGCCCTTTTCTATTTTAGAAAAAATATCAAGCAATTACCTGAACATGGTGTAGACTATTTGTTTAATTGAAAAAATAACCCATGCTTCTTTTTGAATAACAAACCTGAGACGCATGGAACTATTTCATCAAAATAAAAAAGAAACAAAAAATTGAAACTATTTTTCTAGTCTGCTGATCACCCAGTTAGAGCAGTGTAACATTTCTTCGTTTTTTAACTCCAGAGGGGGAACAGCTGAAAGGTGTCCTGTTGCACAATTGTATGTACTGCAACAAGGCACCCTATTTCTATTCTAGCATGTCCCTGAGCATCAATGCTTATGTGATACCATTATGCAAAAAACAGGTAAATGTCAGTTTCCTGTTATACTCAGCATAATGCCTGGTAAGGTGATGCCTTTTCCTATTTAAATTGATACCAAAAGTGGGTCTTAAGACAGATATATTGTTACAATACAAGTGAGGTGACAAATTGATAGAGTTATAATGGCATGCTGTATGCTGTAAAATTGCATCAGTTTCATGATGAGACCCCAAAAGACCCTCTTTTTCATAAGAGACCCCAAAAGACCCTCTTATTCATAAGAGACCCCAGATAAGTCTGTAGTAGTCCATTTAAATGTAACACTTCACCTGTATTACATAAAGAAAAAAAGAAAGGACTATTATTTTAGACCACAATTTTTTTATCAGAGGACTACTGCAGATTTATTTCAAAATATAATAAATAAAAACTTTTCAGTATTTAACTTTTAGTTTTGACTTCTTTTGTAAAAATAGTCCCTGAATCCCAAATCTTCCCACCCTATTCTGTCCTTATCCTCCTGTACTGCAGGAAAAAGAAAATTAATCTCTAAAACTTACCTGTAACTTTGAGTTGTGCAGAGGTCTGTGCCTCCTCCTCTGCTGCAGTGGACTGCTCTGTAAAGGTGGTGGCAATACAAGTATAATTCCCAGAATCAGACAAACTGGCTTCCTGGATTTCTAAAAGGCTGCTGGCATCCTTATCATCTTCAAATATTGATATGTTACTGCTGTCTGTCAGCTGAAAAATCAATCAATGCAAATTTAAGTTATGTGTTTTTAATGACTTCTTTTTATCTATACTTTTTGATTTAGGTAATATATATCAAACCATATATCAGTTTTATCAAAAAAACTTCTGATTTATCTGTATTTCAGACATCCATTATTTACCTTATTTTGCTTATCTGTAACTGAAATGACCACAATTTTTATCAATTGGCATACAAGATAATTTTCAACATGAAATGTCAGTTTTGTTTTTTAACCATTTATGTCATCATTTTTTTCAAAACATGTCTCTTTGTTTACTTTGCACTTAATATTACTGTCTGACTTTATTTAATTAGCAGCATTCCAGGAATGTTTTATAAAGAAAGACCTCTCTCCCATTAATTCTGGTTGAGGTCTCAGACACAAGAGTTTGTTATTCTACTTCTAACCTTACCATTCGCCCAACCAATTCAACTATTCTCTATGGCAGCCTGTATGCAAACTTATTGAAAAGGTTTACAGTTTTATTAAAAGGGTTTGCCTAACAATGGAGGTTAGAAGGGTGTCTCACTGGATACAATGAAATGGTTGCAATGTGCTGATCGGATCAATGAGGAGTTTTCTTATAACACCCAGTATAGAGAGCTGCCAGTATATTCATTTCAAATAAGGTATAAAAAATAACATTTTATTATTCTTCATCTGGAAACACCATGAGTGCAAGGATAGTCACACATAAATACATTCCTTTTGGCAGATTTTTAGTAAGAGTTGGTACTTAATTTGTGTAAAATTTGTGAATAATAATACAACTGACTTTGTATATACTAGAAAAGATAAAATACTGCTAACATTTTATACCTTATAACAGGATAATTTTCCCTTATTTCCAACAGAGCAAAAAGATGGCCTTCAGCTGGTGACACACCTTTACATTATCATGCTTTTATAAGCAAGTATCTATCAGTTTCCCTTTGTCAACTTTTAATACAGAATATGCAAACAATATACATATAACATTCCAGTTAATGGACATATTTTTATTACTATACCATCTGAACATGCTTGGAATCCCCAGACAAAGGTTAACTTACAGGGGTCATCTTAAATATTTATTACTTTATGAACAGCTCTTAAAACGTGAAGGTTTTTTATTGCTTCAAGCACTAATAAAATTTGCTTTTTTTATTTTCTTTGAACATCAAACTTCCCTACAAGAAGGCACGTAACACAAAAAAATAATTTATTGAATTAATAATAGCTTTTAACATATTGAAAATAGCATTTCCGTGATGTGTCATCGATGTTTCGTTTCACTTTGCCAAACATTCTGGAGTTCCCCTGAAGTATAGGAAACTAACATTTCCTATATTACTTTAGCCACTTAGCAAGCACACTTCTTCAATTGTTTTTTGGTTAACCTGCATGAGGTCTGATGTAAAGCACATGTTACATTTTAACCTGAATATTGTGATCCTCACTGAGTTGGAATCTCCCCACTGGTCTAACATGTACCAAGTCTGTCCATGTACCAACACAAAAACTATTTTGTTTAGTCTAGCTAGAACTTTCTATCCCCTTTCTCTGCAAATAAGGCCATATCCTGTCTGTATACTACAACAAACCATGTTTGTCCCTCCCATTCCAACTCTAATCTCAGAACTTTTAATAAAATGATTATAACTGCAAGAGGGAATGGTGAAAAAAAGGTTACAAAAATATTTTGCCAAGTCTTATGGGTTTGCATACTTACTGCCCTGTAAGCATTCTCAAAAGGTATCACATTACAAGGTAAGAAGTCACAATAAGAAGTAGGGTGTTTTTGTGGCCAAATCAAAATAGATTTTCAAAAAAAAAAAAAAAAAATTTACTGGAGACAGGAAATGAGAAATGTCCTCAAAATGGGATGTGCTTCTTCATTAAAGATGGGCAGGTGTGAGAAAATGTTCTCTCTTCCACATTTTATTGGTGACAATGTATATTTTCTACCACTTAAAATTTCAATTATTTGAATTGTCTCTTAAAAAGCTGAAAATGAAAGTGAAAATTTATCATTAATTTTTTCCTTAACATGTAAAATATTGGTTAAAGTGACCATTGTCCTGTTGCTCATACTTGGACTAACAAACTACCATTTTCACTAAAATGCAGAAAAAATTATACCGAAGTATTTTTGACATCTTGCAAAAACATGATAATGAAATTGGGAGATTCATGAATTAAATGTGCTCCACTTTTCTGCCCAAGAGCCCATAAGTCACGTAGCATAACTTTGTTTTGCCTAGAAGTACTTTACAGGGTCTACTGACCAGCACGTACATTACACAGTTGACCACATACTGCCCTGCGTCTACCTTCCTCAAAGCAAAAACCTTCCCAATCTGGTTAAGTCATCTGTGACAATGCGCTCCCCTCTGTCGGCCAGTGACAAAGCCAGCTTAATGGTGCAACAAGAGCAGTCCCGCCAGTATTTACACTGAGCTCAACTGAATGCAGGAAGAAAACAAATTATATGAAGAAGTCCTAAAGGCAAAGTTGAGATAAGAAACTATGTTATTTGGCTGCACACGTCTAGAAGAATGGGCCCCATGTTATATACCTATGTTGGATGTTTTCCATACGACCTCCAGGTTAACACATGCCACACACTGATTACAATGTAGAAAACAGTGTGTGGACATTCAGAAACGTGTAACTCTTTTGTTTCTTTAATGGCTAAGCTGCTTAAGGAAATGCCACTTTGTTACTCTCCACTAAAGTTGACTCAAAAGCCCATTATGCACAATATTTGACTGGAAGACGTTATGTCATCTAAATGTACTTGCTGTCTATTTACCAATGCCCTGTGTTCAGCAAGGAACAATGATAAATAGGTCCTGAAATCAAACTTTAAGCCTATTCTGGGTGCAGTTAGGCATGTCTGATGTTGCAGGCGATGCTGTAACTGTTTCATACCTGTGGCTACTTATTTTGCTACCTGTGTCAGCCGCAAAATGTTCATGGTGACTCTGTAAGTAGTTTACACCCCATTACTTTAACTTTATGGCCCATGTACTGAATAGTCCCTTGACAAAAATATCTAATATGCTTAACTTCAGTCTACTAAGTCTTACCAGTTCTCTTAAGTTCTGCACTTAAAAACAGTCTGCATTTATTATTTCTTCTTTTTTAAGGTAGTGGAAACAGCATACCAATGCAAAATTTTCACCCAGACATCTTACATTTAACCACTTCTTTGATCTTTGAAATTTTCTACTCCATATATTATTCCCACTTTAGACTAGGAATTTTGCTGAAAGGTAACATTAGTCAATTCAATCATGTTGTAAATGTTCAGCTTAATACCCATCTGTCCTTAGTGACACAAAACTATCTCTGAAATCCCAGTTACTGTGTACACAGGTGGCCATATATCACACTGCTGGGTGTGTGGCATGATATTCTATATACAAAAATGAAAGATCAAATTCCATATTTTGTCCAATACCAAAAAGGTGTGTAATTCTGCAAATATAACTGTTTTGTTCTCCATTTGACAAAGCTAATTCTAAAGAAAAGCACCTGACATTGTTGTTGATTCCTGAGTACAAATGGTATGTCTTATACAGGTGGTGAACTATATACGTTGTCAAAAAGAGATAAGAAAAGCCTTTTGACTGGACAACTGCCCCTTATTTTACCTATCATTGGTTCTTGACCCCTTCAGTCTGCTTCTAGACCCTGGATGGGATATTATAAGAAATTCCCATCAACACTGATTCACCAGTAATTAATAAATTATATTAGAAAAATAATTCTTAGGAACTCACCTATTTTATTACTGCCCAAAACTACAGACAGGATATTTCCATTTACCAATATTAATTATCACTGTTGTCATATTATCAGAAAATGGTTAAAAAGTTTTTTTTTTAGAACTCACCTATCTGAATATCCTTCAATATTACAGAGAGTACAGACACCAGTGTTACACAGCTTATCTTCAGGTGCTTATTGAACTAACACATGGCCCCTTTTTAACAGCAGAGCGCCAAAAGCCAAATACTCATTCTGAATGAATAATCACTCCAATTTGCTTCCAGATAGTTTAATAAAGAGGCAACAATAAAACAATCTGTCTCTCTCTTACATGCTAGCTCTCAGCTCTGCATTCCAGACTGGGACAGGCAGAGTGCTCAAACCCAACCTGTGTTACAATGTTCTTCTTCTCACTCCAAACTGCTCATGTTCCAGAGTGTATAGCCTGGCAGATTTCAGATTTCTTTTGTCATTCTATTTAATAGTCAAGCCCCGTCCAACACAATAGGAGAAATAACAGTCCTTTCAAATTAGGCCTCTTTTGACAACAGTGAAGTATTTGTAGCATGAAAGAGGACCACTAGCGCCCCCACACTTAAATACCCACTTAATCATCCCTGTTGGGTTTAATTAGGTGGAAATTAACATAAATTTAATGAAAAAGTTGGGCTTGATTCCTCAGGTATATCTAATAAGCTGGGTCTTACCCAAACATACTGAGCAAGGCTTTTGTAATTGTGTGTTTATTTAAGGATATGTTCAACATTTGAGAAAAGTGCTTTCCACTGTTATAGGGAGATTAACACCTCTTTTGTACACCAGTCATGGTCTTTGAATTAGTTTTCAAAGCACCTACTCCCTCCCGCTAGCCCCCCCCCCCCAAAAAAAAAAAAAATTCTTAAACAAATCTGATCTATAACAATGTCACCTAAGATGACCTAAAAAACTTGCCCCTTTAATAATAACTTCAAATCATATCTAAGACTAATGATAAGAATTCATTAAGTACAGAATTCAAATTCCTCTTCCCAATAAGAAAGCGATTACTCACATGAATTAATATTTAAAACTTTTGCCAATAGAAAATAATTAAAAGTAAAAACTTTTCCCATGACATGATGTCCCCAACCAGCCAGCTAGAGACCCACCATTCTAACAATTACACTCCAATTACAGCAATGATCAAAAGGACCCTTGGGCAACAAACCTGCATAGAAACAAAGTAATTAAAATGAAGTAACATCCTCATTACTATCATCCTAGTGTCTGGTATGTAAGTGTAAAGGTATATATGAAGTGTGAGTCATTAAGTCCAGTGCAAACAGCAAGTGGTTAAGTCTCAGGTAATTATCAGGTCTGAGGAATACCTGCTCTATTGTGAAAAGGCATGACAACACTATCTGCTTAGCAGACTTGAACACATACCTCTCACCACAACATATTTAATGGACAAACATGTAATACCTCTCTCTGTCTGTCTGCATTTGAAGTCGCACTATAGCTTTGGGTACAACTTTCTTGATATTTTTTTATGCTAGGGGACATATCTCTAAATGTTTCAAAATTTTATTTAACCTTAATCAACTGTCTGATATTTTTCACAGTTTTGTTTTAAGGTAAAGTTAATGAAATTAATAAATCGTTTAATAAATCACATGCATAGTTTAAATTTAATTTTTATTCACTAATTAATAAAATCTGTAACATTACTTTTTTCAGGTGCTTTAGCACCATATTTTAATAAATGGTATTTTTAGAATTGTCTTTCTTTCAGGTGCTCAAATGTCAAAGCTTTTGATCCAGAGCACACCTTAATACACGAAACATAACACCTGTAAACCAGGTACAACTGAGTGCATATTGCAATAATGGACCCTCTTCAACATTCCTGTCATGTAACACACTGTAAGATAATTGGCTTGATTAAAATCACTTGAGATCCTTGTACTGGGGACATATTCAGATTATATCTGAAATGATCAATATCTGAGACCTGTGTGAAGGCATCCAAGTCTGTCCCCTTCCCTCCCACTCCCCCATGGCTCTCAAAACCAAACCCCTTCCCCCTATCCTTACAACTTGGCACTACATAGTTCTACATATATGTCCTTATTCTTTTTATTGGGAAGGTATCCCACTTGGTATTACGCCACCAAACAATACAATCATTACTGAAGCATGAGGGAAAACAGCAATCTTTATAGATCTCTACAGGGTAGAATAACACTGTCTTACCTGCACCTGGTACCTATCCCATTTAAAACCCGTAATTATTACAGCATGAAGGCTCTGGGGATATATCAATATTGAGTAACTTTTGCTGGACAATGTATTTGTTATTTCTGTGGGATCAGGGCATTATTTTCTAGGTGGTTTGAAAGCAGTTATATTTGTTCCTGTGAGGTATCAATTTCGCCTTGACTGTACCTGGTCAACTACTCTGATTAATGAGATTATAAGGAATGAGATGAGGAACTGATAAGCTGGTCTGGGGACAATGTGTGTGTGTATGTGTGTATGTGTGTGTGTGTGTGTGTGCGTGCATGTGTGTATGTGTGTGTGTGTGTGTGTGCGTGCATGTGTTTTGAAAATGCCATCAAAATCTAATTATTGGACAAATTTGCTTCAATAATGTCCCATTTATGCTCTATATTGTTCTTGGACATATTGGCAGCCTGTGGCAATAATGCAACTTAATAGGAACACAATCTATTAATATCAATTTACTGTAACAGAAAATAAGACGTAAAGTTAACTTATTTCAAGAGGATAGAGCTTCATTATATGTACAAGTTGAATAAATACAAAATTTATCAAATGCATCCTTCAAGAGTTTATATAATAAGCTAAATATATGAGAACCATGCTGACATCTCAAAGTGGGTACAAACTTCAATATTTGTAATCCAATATATGTTACCAGGTCCAACAGATGAGTGTCTTTTAGATTTATTTCAATACAACTGAGGGATTTATAATCCAACACTTCAGTTTAATGTGAAACAAAAAGTGTGTTGACTGCTCAATGTAATTTCTCATATTCACTTAAAGCCATTAATGCATTTAAATGTCATGTTCAAGTTTATTTGGAAAGAAATTAAAAGAGAAACATAAAGTCTTATTCTGAGCACATAAACTGACATTAAAATCAAATGAAATGTTAGGCCATTTTTCATTAAGTTCCATTTCTGTGAAGAAAACATTTAATGCTACCACAAAGATAATGCCTTAGGGACATATTTCAGAGTGATTGCCATGTCTTATATGTGAGAAGAAATGAAATGGATAATCCTTTTCAGTGCATATTCTGACAATTAACATGGATATCGTGATTTTGGATAACCTGCATCACATCCCTGAAGCAATAAAACCCAGGGATCAGATGTTAGGCATAAGATGAGCTAGACATTATTATGAAAGTAACAGGAATGCATGTCAAATACTGACAATGATGAGGGTCCTTTGGCAACAAAGTGATTTTCTAAGTTATGTCAGTGATGGAACATGTATATGTACTATCATACCATCTGCTGTGGAAAGAAATCAACAGTCTGAAATAGAAATTTTTTTGCTATATAAAAAGTTATGCAAATAATGTACAAGGTATGTACCTCACTGACTTGACTCAGACAAGTGCCTTTTTTGTGGAATGACCCATGCTAAATTAAATGATTAAACACAATAAAAAATACTTACTGGAACTCCATCTTTCATCCACTTCACCTTAGATGTGGGGTCTTTTTCAAATATTCTTGCGTAAAACTGGACTGAGTCTCCCCGACGCACATTCACAGACTTCAGCTCTCGAATGAAGTAAGGAGGAAACTTCCTGTAAGTAATACAGAAGCCAGAATGAGCAATTATTGATCACAGCGCATTCCACTACTGCCGGCCCTGCTTTCTTCTCATTATTCATGTTAAAACCATAAATTGATTAATCATAATGGACCAGGTCTTTCTTCACTATTTAAAGATTAATACCTGCATGACATTTTAATTATTGGACAGCTACCTTAAACACTGTCAGCATTCAGGAATAATGATTAAGTTTTAAGCTAGGTGTCACATTATAATTGTAACAATGGGGCAGTATAGATGCCTGCCACACATGAAAATGAGAAGTTTGACTGTATTAAATACATGATACATGTTGCATTTTGATATCCCCATGGGGGCAGAATTCAACCAATCTACTGTTTTTCTATAATTGACATTTGTGGTTAGTGAAAAAAGCACAAGTACAGAACAACTGAAATACTGCCACTTTTTCCTTTAAAAACATGAATACAAATCAACTGTGGTGAGTAGATGAATAACATTAAACACTGAATCATCTTTCCTTTTCAATCAAATGCATACAGACTAATTATTTTTTTCAAGATATTATTACCTTCACCTTCAAAAACACCGACTCATATATCATTTCTTAAAATGCTGTTTCTAGTGCAACTGAACCATGGCAGAGGACATAAAGTACTATCAAATTATAAAAAGAACACATTAGTGACAGGAGACTGAGGGGTATTTTGGGCCTCAGGGCTTCTCATCTGTCATCATAACATGGCCTCAAGTACAAGGTCAGTGTACAGATTACAGACTTCATGGCTACTTTGTAGGCACATTTAGACTTGAGGATAAACCTTAACTGGTTCAGGTTTACATGACATCCAACAAATGACCAAATGGGAATTGCCAATCATTTGATATATCATTGGATTTTACTGATGGCAACTAAATGAATGTGAATAAACCCTCTCATAATTCTTTACCAGAAGGCTGTTGAAAACAGGACAAGAAAGTTTACATTTAATTCCTAAATGGACACTCTTATTGGTTTTGTGCACAGGAAAAGGGAAGCAAAAAGTACATGTTCATAGTAGATCTCTAAATGGTTCTTCAAAATCATGAACTATTTCTAAATGGACTTTTTTGTTGGCAGGAGAAACTTTTGTTGACTTACTTTGGTCCTTCTTCTTTTACTTTAGCTGCTTCTGCTGGCTTTTTCACAGCTGAAAATGAACAGCACAAAAATTCAGTCTTGTGGTAAAAGTCTTATTAAGTATTTTGCTCTTGTACCAAATTGATAAATCTTCCATGATAATTTAAAAATTTTACTTCTCCATGCTACATATAAAATGAATAATTGTCACACAAAAACACTTACTCTCTACAGTGAGTTTAGCACTGGACGCAGCTATTCCTGCATCTGACTGTGCTTTGCATGTATAATGGCCCTCGTCTGTTACTTGTGCATTGCGAATCACCAGTGAATACAAGCCTCCAGAACCAGCAATTATTTCATACTTGTTATCTGGAGTCAGCTTTGTGCTGCCTTTGTACCTGTGGATAGAAAAATGATACATCTTTTATCTATACAATCAGTATATTAACTTATAAAAAGATAATTTTTGTTCATTTTTCATTTTAAAGAGTTGATGTTTAAAATCATTGCTTTCAATAAGCCTGGTGTTGGTTTTATATATAGCTTTAGCAAACACATCTCTCTCACTTTTTAAATATTATCATACATTGGTAGTTATGAAACTTTCCATCAATGTGTGTGTATAACCTTTCCTGTAATCTTTTTCTTGATTAAACAATAAACAATGAAAAAGTACCAAGCTGTCAACTCACCAAACAATGTCAGGCTCTGGATATCCGGTAATCTTGCAGTCAAAGCGAGCGGTACTCCCCTCAGGGACACTACAATCCTTCAGCGGCCTTTGGAATGCAGGACTTTCGTGCATATCCCTCTCATCTAAAATAATAATGCAGCATTCCAGTGAGATTATGTCCCACCAGGTATTCCATAATTGCTATACAATTAATATAAGGGATCGATACAATCGATGCATATGTCATGACAAGGTGCACATGTACATGACAAGGTTTAAGAAACCAAACAAAAGACACAAAATACATATCTATTATTAAGGTTATAGTGAGGTGCATTTTATAGGAAAACAATCATATACTATAAGTAAGGAAACAGCATTTGTTTTTGAATAATAGTAGACAATAAAAGATACAATTAACACACTGGTTAGGGAGACAACAAGGAAAGCTGGCACACCTTCAAACAGTTAAGCTGTGTTAATAGTCTTGTGCCTAGGGGGAAGGTAAGGGGACATTCACATGACTTACCATTAAGGCCAGTTTTATGCAGGTCTTAAATTGGTCTCTTAATTATAAGCAATAGCAAAACATAGGGGATGATGATTGTAATGAAGCCTCCTGGGTTTACAGCATGGTTGTGCAATTAATTTCAACTGGTTGCAATCAATTTTCAATGTCATTTTAGGTCACATTTTAGTACACCAGGAAAAAAGTGATTCAAATTCTCTAGATAATCACAAACTTTAAGACCGATTTCAGACCTGTTTAAAGGTTTGCTGTCATGTGATTTGACCCTTACATGTTATCATACCTATAGGGCAAAGCTGGATGCTGGATTGCCTGGTTGCACGTCTCGGTCGCGAGATACTGCCTCGTGCCACACGACCTAGACAAACAACATGCTATATAACAACTAAAACTCATGTCACCAATGGGTTAGCATGCAATCATAAGCTAGGTTAGTTTTTATATGTTAAGAAGGTAGTAGCTGTAAGACATGCCCATAGAGGATTTATAGCAATTTCACATTACGGAAGCCAAGTTCTACAGACTGTTTGACTATCTTACACCATGTAAAAATCCCCCAAGCTATAAATGATACATAAAATGCTATGCTTAAACAGAATTCTGATTAACTGATTGGCAGTGTATAAATCACAATGAAGGTAACTTTCTTCAGAAACACTCAAGACACATATGTTTTAATAATATGTCATTTNATTAAGTATTTTGCTCTTGTACCAAATTGATAAATCTTCCATGATAATTTAAAAATTTTACTTCTCCATGCTACATATAAAATGAATAATTGTCACACAAAAACACTTACTCTCTACAGTGAGTTTAGCACTGGACGCAGCTATTCCTGCATCTGACTGTGCTTTGCATGTATAATGGCCCTCGTCTGTTACTTGTGCATTGCGAATCACCAGTGAATACAAGCCTCCAGAACCAGCAATTATTTCATACTTGTTATCTGGAGTCAGCTTTGTGCTGCCTTTGTACCTGTGGATAGAAAAATGATACATCTTTTATCTATACAATCAGTATATTAACTTATAAAAAGATAATTTTTGTTCATTTTTCATTTTAAAGAGTTGATGTTTAAAATCATTGCTTTCAATAAGCCTGGTGTTGGTTTTATATATAGCTTTAGCAAACACATCTCTCTCACTTTTTAAATATTATCATACATTGGTAGTTATGAAACTTTCCATCAATGTGTGTGTATAACCTTTCCTGTAATCTTTTTCTTGATTAAACAATAAACAATGAAAAAGTACCAAGCTGTCAACTCACCAAACAATGTCAGGCTCTGGATATCCGGTAATCTTGCAGTCAAAGCGAGCGGTACTCCCCTCAGGGACACTACAATCCTTCAGCGGCCTTTGGAATGCAGGACTTTCGTGCATATCCCTCTCATCTAAAATAATAATGCAGCATTCCAGTGAGATTATGTCCCACCAGGTATTCCATAATTGCTATACAATTAATATAAGGGATCGATACAATCGATGCATATGTCATGACAAGGTGCACATGTACATGACAAGGTTTAAGAAACCAAACAAAAGACACAAAATACATATCTATTATTAAGGTTATAGTGAGGTGCATTTTATAGGAAAACAATCATATACTATAAGTAAGGAAACAGCATTTGTTTTTGAATAATAGTAGACAATAAAAGATACAATTAACACACTGGTTAGGGAGACAACAAGGAAAGCTGGCACACCTTCAAACAGTTAAGCTGTGTTAATAGTCTTGTGCCTAGGGGGAAGGTAAGGGGACATTCACATGACTTACCATTAAGGCCAGTTTTATGCAGGTCTTAAATTGGTCTCTTAATTATAAGCAATAGCAAAACATAGGGGATGATGATTGTAATGAAGCCTTCTGGGTTTACAGCATGGTTGTGCAATTAATTTCAACTGGTTGCAATCAATTTTCAATGTCATTTTAGGTCACATTTTAGTACACCAGGAAAAAAGTGATTCAAATTCTCTAGATAATCACAAACTTTAAGACCGATTTCAGACCTGTTTAAAGGTTTGCTGTCATGTGATTTGACCCTTACATGTTATCATACCTATAGGGCAAAGCTGGATGCTGGATTGCCTGGTTGCACGTCTCGGTCGCGAGATACTGCCTCGTGCCACACGACCTAGACAAACAACATGCTATATAACAACTAAAACTCATGTCACCAATGGGTTAGCATGCAATCATAAGCTAGGTTAGTTTTTATATGTTAAGAAGGTAGTAGCTGTAAGACATGCCCATAGAGGATTTATAGCAATTTCACATTACGGAAGCCAAGTTCTACAGACTGTTTGACTATCTTACACCATGTAAAAATCCCCCAAGCTATAAATGATACATAAAATGCTATGCTTAAACAGAATTCTGATTAACTGATTGGCAGTGTATAAATCACAATGAAGGTAACTTTCTTCAGAAACACTCAAGACACATATGTTTTAATAATATGTCATTTTTTCCTTCCTGTATCTGTACAAAAAATATCGTTTTTGAGGTTTTGAACTTTAAAGAAGCACAGCATGGTATGCTTAAGGTGGCTGAGGTGGCTATATTCAGTGAGCATTGTGGTTTCTTAAACAGTAGTCATTTCCTCAGCAAAGGGGTTCCCTGCTGCTGCTTGTCTACCCATCTAACTGTGGTTTACTTAAAAGAATTACTTTTCAAAGAGTTGGGAACCATAAACATGGTAATTATTCAAAGATTAGGAAAAAACATGACAAGGAATAGCTGGTGTGAAATCAACTGAGATAATTTGATGTCCAATAAACATGGTAATGAAATTTCAAACTGTTTTCCACAAACCTTATTTTTTTGAAAAAAGAATTTGACCTTGCTCAAGTAATTGATGACCACAGATTTTTTAGCAGAATTCTTTTTAAATTCCTTTTCACATTTTTTACTGATAGTTGGTCTTGCAAAAAGTATCCATTGACCCTTTCCAATTACTGCTGAAGAGGCACTTTAGAGATCATTTAAAAAATAACATTTGAAAGACGTTTTAAGTCTTAATGTACCCTGATGTTTACTACCAGTGACAGATGTGGAGGTTATTTGAACCTGTTTTTGTTATGGGCAGTTATATTCAATCAGTGTATGACCACCCATCTCAGCGCCAGTCCCAACACACTGGGCAGAGGTCAAACATAGAAAGATATTGCTTGCATTTGAGACATTCAAAAAGTGATTGGAAAAAACAACATGGTGCAAAAGATTTTTTAAAGACTTTCATGAGTTTGAATAAGTTTAAATCAGCAGAAACAATAGTGTCAGACTGAAGAGATATATTGCCTTGGTACATTTTATGTAGTATTTTTTTGTTAAGATACCTTCTCATGGTATCTTTTTGGACAACTTTTTGGTAGGGTTGTTTCTGGTCAGAACCTTTCTTATCCAATTAAAAAAAATAATCTTTTACAGAAAAAAAAGGTAGTGTGTTTTGCAGATTGCTATCAATTTCGATAAAGTTTTCCTTCTCTAATCAGTGGAAAAAAACAGACAAATACAGTCTTTTTGATGAAAAAAATTGAGGATAGCATGTCCTACTCTTAATCTTTCCAAAATCTTCCATTGTAGCATGTAGAGCTTTGCTAACTTAGAAAATATGTTCTTTGTATATCTAGTTAGTGATAACCCTTGAAGGCACCAGGAGACAAACAATCACACAGGAAATTCTTGGTTAGTAATAGGTGGTTTCATATTATAAAAAAAAATCACTTAAATTATTACCAAATGTAGCTCAAGCACTTATTTTCTGTAAGTTTATGTGTGATTGCAAAAAAAAATGATTTGATTCATTTCATTTTATGATAGCATTTTATATCCAAGAAGATTTTAAACTTATCACGGATTAATTCTCCTGTCAAGGACATGCTTAATCATGCAGAACATATAAGCCTTGTTGGAATAAGCATCATTTACACAGATACTGGGCAACACAAATATAAATGTATTACTAATATTAGTAATCAATCAGTCACAAAGACTAACAACTCAATAAAAATATGAAATATTACATATTGTATCTAAACTAAAACCTAAAAAACATAGGTATTCACATAAATTGCCTGAAATATTATACATTGTCACTGAGAAAGAGAAACATTACATGCAAAATGTGTTGAATAAAAAAAAAGAAAAAAATACCATATCTCCTCCTACCTTCCACAATGAGTCTGCACTGACAGGACTCAGATCCCAGTTCATTAGTGGCAGTGCAGGAATAAGTGCCGGTGTCTCCTACCTCAGAGTCATAGATCTCCAGGTTATAGGTATCCCGTTCTATAAACACCTCATAGCGACCTGGAAAGGGAATAAAATGGTTAAAAAATGCCCATATTTTTCCTTAGATCGCTGTATTAACTTTTGAGTATATTATTCATTAGTGCCATTTATCTTAACTGTCTTTTCATAGCTCTTCTAAATTTTTTTAGAATTATTTTTTATTCAGCTTGAATGGTCTAAACAATGCATTCACATAAACAGTGCTCCAGTGTACAACTTCCTCAAACAATTAATAAAATCATCAACAACTGCAGTTATCATCAGCAATTGCAGTTATTCAAATGCAAGCATCTTTTCAAAAAACAGTGACATACACCCATGTCCAATTACAAACTACAAATATCAGGTGTGGCAAAGCAGTGAAATGGAAAAACTTACCCTCATCCTCTAGGTCCCTGCCATTCTTCTGCCATGTAATCTCTGGCTCTGGTTCTCCATCCACCTTCACGGACAGTTTCACTATGTTACCAGTGGTCACTTTCCTATCCCTTAATTTCTTCAAGAACCTTGGGGGCTCACCTTCAGGTTCTCCAGGCTCTGAAGCTGCCTCAGCAACCACTTCTGCAGGTTTGGCTAAAACAAATACAAGCTGCGACTTAAACCAAGGTTTTTGTGTTTCCCCTTGATACATTGCAACTGAAGTACAGGCATGCTTTGCTGCTGCTATCCTTCTCAGTTTTTTTCTAAATGTACATATTTCAAACAAAAATAAACAAATGAGATAAAATCTGCTGCATCCCTATCCCTGTGTGGTCCATCAGTCCACACAATAACAAATGTAGTTGGATACTCTTTATAGGCGTAAACTATCCTCTTTGATTATGTTGTTTCCTCTGTGAAAGTCACACCAAACTTTTTTCTAAAGAATAAAATAGTTTCTGTGCCAGGATATCCTTAAAAGCATGTATGCTCAAACTGTTCTTTGACAATGATAACTGTTCTTCCAACTGATAAACCTTGGTAATTAATCCATCAGAGTTTTATGCCAACTCATCAGCATACTGTTTGTCATAATCTATTCTCATCATGTATATCCTCATATGAAAATGATTGTGATGCAGTGCCATGAATTTAAAACAAATCTTGATACCAATATAACACAAATGAGATAACAATTATTACACTGCCACATTACTATCAATTAATGAAACAGTTACCTGCCAAGCAAAACCGAATGGTTATTTTTGGTTCAGTTGCAAAGCATTACACATCCAAAACACTCCCTAATTTATTTCATTTCATTTGAGAATATTTTTATTTTTTCCTTTGTTGAATGTCATTCAATAACTAGCAAAATTTCAATCCTTCTGCAAACTTTCTTGGAAACTTAACCAAACCGTTACACTCACAATGATATATCTAATATCTAAACAACAGTAAAAAACACAAACAAACAATCTTTACCTTCACCAGTCACAAACTTTGTTGAAGATCTTGCTGTGCCAGCTATGTTGGTTGCTGTGACAACATACTGGCCAATGTCTTCAGGATTGATATCACGTATGGTCAGTGTGGTGCTATCAGTTGCATCAAATTCTATCTGATGATGTCGAGATCTTCGGGGAATCTCGCGGCCATCCTGGTACCAGATGATGTCGGCAGGAGGCTTAGCGAGGACTTTCACATTTACGTGAACTGATTCGCCTTCAATAATCTCTACAGTATCTGGTAGAGCCTTTATAAATCTTGGTGCTGCAAATGAAGAGTAAAATAGACATGAATTCAGCATATCTCTCTGCATTGTCATGACTGTCAAACTCTAAAATGGTCCTTGAAAAAAATCAAGCAATAACACTAAATTACAGTCAATTCTCATGAAACATGAGGAAAATAACAAGTTTTTAGCAAAATATTTACTAAACAAAATGGGTTTTGTTTCACATTTAAAGGGGCATTTGTGCTCAGATTGTTTTTGGATCCTTGTTTCTTGTTTATTTTATCTTGCAGGGAGTATATTGGAAATGTGAAAATGTAGACTACTTAAGNGCTCGCGCTGCCAGTAATTACGCGGCAGGATATTCAGGGCACAGACCGTGATCATAAGACATACCGCGAATAGAAAATAGAATTTAGAAAATAGACATTGCATGTGAATGAAGCCTTAATCTTTCCAAAATCTTCCATTGTAGCATGTAGAGCTTTGCTAACTTAGAAAATATGTTCTTTGTATATCTAGTTAGTGATACCCCTTGAAGGCACCAGGAGACAAACTATCACACAGGAAATTCTTGGTTAGTGATAGGTGGTTTCATATTATTAAAAAATCACTTAAATTATTACCAAATGTAGCTCAAGCACTTATTTTCTGTAAGTTTATGTGTGATTGCAAAAGAAATGATTTGATTCATTTCATTTAATGATAACATTTTATATCCAAGAAGATTTTAAACTTATCATGGATTAATTCTCCTGTCAAGGACATGCTTAATCATGCATAACATATAAGCCATGTTGGAATAAGCATCAGTTACACAGATACTGGGCAACACAAATATAATGAAATACTAATGTTGGTAATCAATCATTCACAAAGACTAACAACTCAATAAAAATATGAAATACTACATATCGTATCTAAAGTAAAACCTAAAAAACATTTGTATTCAAATAAATTGCCTGAAATATATACTTTGTCAATGAGAAAAAGAAATATTATATGCAAAATGTGCTGAATACAAAAAAAAAAAAAAATAATAATAATAATAAATAAAATAAATAAAAATAAAAATAAAAAAAATAATAATAAGATAAATAAAATAAAATAAAAAAAATAATATTTTCACAATATCTCCTCCTACCTTCCACAATGAGTCTGCACTGACAGGACTCAGATCCCAGTTCATTAGTGGCAGTGCAGGAATAAGTGCCTGTGTCTCCTACCTCGGAGTCGTAGATCTCCAGGTTATAGGTATCCCGTTCTATAAACACCTCATAGCGTCCTAGAAAGTAAATAAAATGGTTAAAATATACCCACATTTTTCCTTAGATCCCTGTATTAAGTTATGAGTATATCATTCATTGTGACCATTAATCTGAATTGTCTTTTTATAACTCTTCTAAAATTTCTCGAATTTTTTTTGTTCAGCTTTAATGATCTAAACAATGCATCCACACAAACAGTACTCTAACATACAATTTACTCAAATGAGAAGGTTACAACAATGAATAAAATCATCACCAACTGCAGTTATTCAAATGCAAGCATCTTTTCAAAAAACAGAGACATACACCCATGTCTAATAACAACTACAAATATCAGGTGTGGCAAAGCAGTGAAATGGAAAAACTTACCCTCATCCTCTAGGTCCCTGCCATTCTTCTGCCATGTAATCTCTGGCTCTGGTTCTCCATCCACCTTCACGGACAGTTTCACTATGTTACCAGTGGTCACTTTCCTATCCCTTAATTTCTTTAAGAATCTTGGGGGCTCGCCTTCAGGTTCTCCAGGCTCTGGCGCTGCCTCAGCAACCACTTCTGCAGGTTTGGCTAAAACAAATACAAGCTGTGACTTAAACCAAAGTCTTTGCGTTTCCCCTTGATACATTGCAACTGAAGTACAGGCATGCTTTGCTGCTGCTATCCTTCTCAGTTTTTTCTTTCTAAATGCATGTATTTCAAACAAAAATAAACAAATGAGATAAAATCTGCTGCATCCCTATCCCTGTGTGGTCCATCAGTCCACACAATAACAAATGTAGTTGGATACTCTTTATAGGCGTAAACTATCCTCTTTGATTATGTTGTTTCCTCTGTGAAAGTCACACCAAACTTTTTTTCTAAAGAATAAAATAGTTTCTGTGCCAGGATATCCTTAAAAGCATGTATGCTAAAACTGTTCTTTGACAATGATAACTGTTCTTCCAACTGATAAACCTTGGTAATTAATCCATCAGAGTTTTATGCCAACTCATCAGCATACTGTTTGTCATAATCTATTCTCATCATGTATATCCTCATATGAAAATGATTGTGATGCAGTGCCATAAATTTAAAACAAATCTTGATACCAATATAACACAAATGAGATAACAATTACTACGCTGCCACATTACTATCAATTAGTGAAACAGTTACCTGCCAAGCAAAACTGAATGGTTATTTTTGGTTCAGTTGCAAAGCATTACACATCCAAAACACTCCCTAATTTATTTCATTTCATTTGAGAATATTTTTATTTTTTCCTTTGTTGTCATTCCCTAATTAGCAAAAGTTCAGTACTTAACCAAACCATTACACTCACAATGATATATCTAATATCTAAACAACAGTAAAAAAAAAACACAAACAATTAAACAATCTTTACCTTCACCAGTCACAAACTTTGTTGAAGATCTTGCTGTGCCAGCTATGTTGGTTGCCGTGACAACATACTGGCCAATGTCTTCAGGATTGATATCACGTATGGTCAGTGTGGTGCTATCAGTTGCATCAAATTCTATCTGATGATGTCGAGATCTTCTGGGAATCTCACGGCCATCCTGGTACCAGATGATGTCAGCGGGAGGCTTCGCGAGGACTTTCACATTAACGTGAACCGATTCGCCTTCAATAATCTCTACAGTATCTGGTAGAGCCTTTATAAATCTTGGTGCTGCAAATGAAGAGTAAAATAGACATGAATTCAGCATATCTCTCTGCATTGTCATGACTGTCAAACTCTAAAATGGTCCTCGAAAAAAATCAAGCAATAACACTAAATTACAGTCAATTCTCATGAAACATGAGGAAAATAACAAGTTTTTAGCAAAATATTTACTACACAAAATGGGTTTTGTTTCACATTTAAAGGGGCATTTGTGCTCAGATTGTTTTTGGATCCTTGTTTCTTGTTTATTTTATCTTGCAGGGAGTATATTGGAAATGTGAAAATGTAGACTACTTANCTGTTCTTTGACAATGATAACTGTTCTTCCAACTGATAAACCTTGGTAATTAATCCATCAGAGTTTTATGCCAACTCATCAGCATACTGTTTGTCATAATCTATTCTCATCATGTATATCCTCATATGAAAATGATTGTGATGCAGTGCCATGAATTTAAAACAAATCTTGATACCAATATAACACAAATGAGATAACAATTATTACACTGCCACATTACTATCAATTAATGAAACAGTTACCTGCCAAGCAAAACCGAATGGTTATTTTTGGTTCAGTTGCAAAGCATTACACATCCAAAACACTCCCTAATTTATTTCATTTCATTTGAGAATATTTTTATTTTTTCCTTTGTTGAATGTCATTCAATAACTAGCAAAATTTCAATCCTTCTGCAAACTTTCTTGGAAACTTAACCAAACCGTTACACTCACAATGATATATCTAATATCTAAACAACAGTAAAAAACACAAACAAACAATCTTTACCTTCACCAGTCACAAACTTTGTTGAAGATCTTGCTGTGCCAGCTATGTTGGTTGCTGTGACAACATACTGGCCAATGTCTTCAGGATTGATATCACGTATGGTCAGTGTGGTGCTATCAGTTGCATCAAATTCTATCTGATGATGTCGAGATCTTCGGGGAATCTCGCGGCCATCCTGGTACCAGATGATGTCGGCAGGAGGCTTAGCGAGGACTTTCACATTTACGTGAACTGATTCGCCTTCAATAATCTCTACAGTATCTGGTAGAGCCTTTATAAATCTTGGTGCTGCAAATGAAGAGTAAAATAGACATGAATTCAGCATATCTCTCTGCATTGTCATGACTGTCAAACTCTAAAATGGTCCTTGAAAAAAATCAAGCAATAACACTAAATTACAGTCAATTCTCATGAAACATGAGGAAAATAACAAGTTTTTAGCAAAATATTTACTAAACAAAATGGGTTTTGTTTCACATTTAAAGGGGCATTTGTGCTCAGATTGTTTTTGGATCCTTGTTTCTTGTTTATTTTATCTTGCAGGGAGTATATTGGAAATGTGAAAATGTAGACTACTTAAGGGGTCTACAGTGGTTGGTTGAATGGTATTCATTCTGTCAGAGTAGCTGACGACTTGTGCTTGTGAAGATCACATGTCATTCATTGTGACAGGGATGGGGAGGGGGGGGGGGGGGTAGAAACTGCCCACATTAATGCTGTCAGGAAAAAAATCCAAACACTCCTTTTCCATAACTACAATAGGAGCCAAGTTGCTGTAGAGGGGGCATCATTACAAATGTACATGAATCTACCCTACATAATTAAATGCAATAATAGGTAGGCTTCAACATGAGGGATAATAGAAATATTTGTTGTTTTTAATCTGCACACTTACTGAAACTGTGACAGGAACATTATGGGCAGGGGTAAGATAAAATAGAATAGTTTTCCACATTTTTTACATTACAGGAGGATTGGTACGTAATTTAGCAGTACTTCAGTCATTATTACATGTAGAAAGAAATGTATTACAATGGCATATACCTTTTCACAGTGTCCTGGTATGGCCGACATGCTCTTTCTGGGGGCTGTGACAACAAGTGCTCGACTCATTAGACGAGAAATCAGAGCTCTAAGTGGTAAAACAGTTGAAGGGGATACTATTTCTAATATAAGGTGGATTTTTTCTTAGTTTGAGGTGTAAAGTTCAAAACAGTAAGGTTTGCACACAAAAAAGCAATGAAGCTTTAGCAAAGATACCTTGCCCCGAGGATGATGAAGCATCAATAAAAGCAGAATCCCCTGGAGCCAAAATAGTTTAAAGGTGTTATCTTAATGAAATAATGATAATAGGATAAAAATGAGCTGATATTAAAAAAAAATTACACAAAAACAGACACACAACTATATATAGGATCAGTGTTTGCAATTAAGTATGGAATTAGCATAAATGGAATCATTATTTGCGTTTATTTTCATAAGGAATATACAGTTGATAAACAAAGGTACTAGGTAACTGCACTGAAGATGTGAAAAGAAAGCTACAGTTTGAAAAAACTAAAGTTTCAGCTGCTCGTCATCTGAAACAAAATGGACTGTCATAAGGAACATGGTGAAAGTATAAGTTGTTATCACAATTACTTCTGAATAACTTATTTAATTGGAAAAAATATCCCAGTTACGATACTATTCATGATCTTTTGGTTAAAAAGTCAAGGTATGTCTGCCCCTTATGACTAGCACAAATACTGATTTATTTAAATATTTCTGTAATCAATATTTTTATCACCAAATAACAGAGTAATCAGCTTCAGCTCTAGACATACCCATACTTTTTTCTCCAGTCCCCATACAAATACCATACCTCTCTGTAAATAACTACCCCAATTATCTGAGCCCTAGGTAGATTACTTGTTAAAAGGCAAGTCCATCTACTTTTACATGACAAAAACTGACCACATCAAAGACAACATGACAGCCGACCACACATATACACAGTAAGCCACACTTGATAAAAGCCGGATGTTTCAGCACAGACTCTTTATATTTACTCTGTATGCAGGAAGTGGAGAGATAGACACCTCTTCAGGGGATGATATATGAATGGTAATGCAATATCAATATCAGTGGTATTTGGAACTGACATCTGAACAATACTGTCTTTTGATCACTAATATAAGTTTGTTTTTCTTTTTTTTTTTTTTTTGTTAGACATATGCTTACCTATGACATCTGGCTCTTTTGGTCTGAAAGAAAAAGAAATAGCTTTTAACAATGTGCATATATTTGATAACTAAGTGCCTGTATTTTAAAAATACAGTAAAGGTATAGGGTGTGAGATGTAAATACAGAAACTAATGCATTAGAATAGAGCCAGATAGACCTCATCCTAAACTCCCAATGCAGTGAAAAATAAAAAGGCACATTTTGTGCAAGAATGCAACAGAGCCAAACAAAGACTTCTGTTCAAAAAGCTGAATTAGTATTTTATTTTGTGTTGAAAAAATATAAGCATTGTGTTGTGTAGTACTCACTTTGGCTTGCCAATCTTGACTGCTGTAGTTGAGCTAATCTCACCCGCTGCATTCTTGGCAGTTGCTTTGTACTCTCCGCCATCAGTGAACATCACTGAGGGCACCTCCAGGGAATGTGTGTTGCCTTTAGAGATAATCTTAAGTCGTGTGCTGTAGCTTAGATCCCTTGCACCCTTGTGCCATTCAACTTAAGGAAGAAAAAAAAAAGAAATTTAAGCTTGGGGAAGATTGTGCTCAAAAAGTAATATAAAGGTTTTATTATAAGGTATCAGTAGTAGGATGAGGTTTTCATAAATTAGATTCTATACCAAATTCTTATTAACTTAGCACTCACGTTTTGACATTTCTGACCATTCTCACAATTCTGTTCATTGGCAGTTTTATTATATATCAACACCTTGAGAAAAATTGAAATAAAGTTAAGCACTGCTTTGTCACATCATTTCATTCCATATATAATTAAAAAACAGTCATTTCCAAACCAAAATTTGATAATTGACCTTAAATTGAATCTTCTAGAATCTAACCTTTTGGTGTGGGATCTCCCTCTACCACACAAGTCAGCAGTAGGGACTCTCCCTCAGGGACTTCCACAGCACTAGGGAGTGGCTTGATGAACTTGGGGGCTGTTCCAACAGCCTCCCTGCTGGGTTTGGCACCACGGTCCACTACTGGGGTGACTTCTCTGCTGGACTCACGACTGGTACTTCTACTACGAATGTCTTCACCTGAGTGACATAAAAGATGTTATGTCAAATAATTTTTTTAAATCTTCTTAAAGTTTAAAACAAGTACTAATGAACAGCATGTTATCTTTATATGTTTGTTAATCCACCTGTGCAGTTATCATTTTTGTAAGAGAAAAGATTTTCTCCTCTTTCTTTCTGCAATAAATATAACCATGTATTTAATGGACTAATAAGCAAATATAGGTGAAGAACTGTAAATATCTTGAATAAGTTGAAAAGAGCCTTTTGATGAGCCTTTGAGATCTTTATATGAGCTTCAAAGTAAATATTTAAGCATAAGTTATTTCTATCTTACATTGATGCAAGGTTGTTTTCCCTTCCATATAGCTATGACGCACACTGCCACTAAGTTACCTTGATTCAAAACAATCTTAAGGTCTTGTTATTATTAATTAAAGCCCCTTGCACATGTGATTCTTCCATGCAGACAAAAGCAAGTTTCACCAAAATTTACACCTGTTAACCAAACAATTTTTAGAAAAAAAATTCCAGGTTGAAAATAAAAAGTCTGAATCATACAAATTCTACAATTCTGGGGAATAATAATTTGTTTGAAATGTTTAAGTTGCTTGATTAGAAGAAAAAATATTTATAAGTAAAATGATATCCCAGCTAACAGTGCCTATTGTTAGCATACATGTATACAATAATTCAGATATGCAGTACATCCATTCTTATTAACCTGTATGTATGTACTGAGTCTGGTGTATTCCTGTGTTTAATAACATAGCAGAGTGGTATGAGGTAGGTTTATATTTATACAGGGGACTACCATCTGGTCAAAGAGTCCTGGAGGCAAGGTGGATCCAGTAGGTTACGTGAATATTTTTATTTTAGGCCTTTTTGTTTTAGGTAAATATGAAACCTGATCTGCAGCACTGTCTCATATACATGGCTTATTTTAGGGAAGATTTATTTTTGGTTAACTTTTTTTAAATCTTAAGATATGCTTTTATTTCTACTCAACATTTCATGAATTTCTGACTCTGAACAAATGAATTATCAGTATTATCATAGAAGGTTCCTAATCTGAAATAAAGTCTTTGTGTGCTTATCAAATGTGCAACAAATCCAGATTATAAATAATGATAATCATTAGTTATTGGAGAGAACCCCAAGTATTGTTTTGTAAAAGTTAAATAATAAAAAATTCAATTATCATTTTTTAGTTTTTTATCAGATGGGGAACGGGAAATCCATTTCTAGCATTCCCAGTATCATGTTTAAAGCTTTGAGTAGAGAGAAACTTCAAGGCAGAAATTCAGAAAAATTCATCATAAATTTTGATAGAGAGAACAGGAAAACGAAAATCATGAACATTTTTTTACTAATCTTGCTTTGATCCTTTGGCATACCACCAGATACTCACCAATGACTCGAAGGGAAGCAGAGCACTTTGTACGTCCAGCCTTGCTTTGTGCCTGGCAGTAGTAGAGACCTTGGTCAGATTTCTGGACCTGTCGGATGACCATCTTAGCACCACCTTGTCCATCATAGTACATCTTGATGCGGTCATCTTCTTCAAGTTCTAGGCTGTCTTTTGTCCTAAAAGATAATATTGATTTCTATCTTAATATTCATAATTTTTCACAAAATTCATGTTCTTTTTTTTTTAGCCACAAATGCTTAAACATTATCTTCTGTGCTTTAAGAATATTTTTGGTTTTGGAGTCATATTCCCTACTACTCCAAGTGAACATTTATATAGTTTCTTTCATCCAGAACTTCAGAAGCTTTTATGGCACTTAAAACTGATTCAGTATCCCTTTACCTGTCCAGCTCCTGACCAGGAGTGACCAGGGTCAGAGGACTGAGTTGAGGTTCTGACACACTGGCCATATCTATCTCACCACCACCACATCAGTAGCAACCCCCACCACATCAGTCAGCCAGCCAGGAGAGCTTACTGATTTGTCTTAACTTTTCTGATATGCACTGCTGACATAGCTATATTTCTGTTTTCTGAGCTAATTTTACCTGGATTCTTCACCATGCACAATTTAGAAACCCTGCTGGAAATACCTGCTATTTCTCAGTGGGATGTCCTAGCCATAGAAACATGTGGTGGTTTTACCTAGCTTTACCTGAACCTTTTTGAGACTAGACTTTGAATACAATAATTACTCATAAAAGTGGAACAAAATATGGGCTTGTGTCAGACACTTTCAGAAACCTTTTGTCATGCAAAATTGGCAGATTTTGGTAAAACAAGTGAGGTGTTTGAAGTTTGCCAATTATTACCAGATTAGCAGGTGGTAGCTATTCTAGTCTTATCTTGGGACTTTCTGAGACAAGCTATAGTCCAATAACACAGCACTTTAAACTGGGTATGAGAGGATTGAAATAAATTTCCCATGATGCAAATGCAATGTCGACTGCATTACCCCATGCATTCACCACCACCTGAGTTATTCTTTTAAGAACAAAATCCTATTAAAATGTTTGCATAGATGTACCAGCAATGCTGCCACCTTTAGGAATAACTTCCTACCAATGCAAAACTAGAGTTTAATACTTAGGAGATACATATGCCATACTAAAGTCTGAATACTGGCTATATGACTTTAAAAACTTGGGAGTTTTACTCATTAAACACCCATCAAAATATAGGGAAGGAAGTAGCCAATTTAGGGTATGAAAATAATTTATCCATTTAGAAGATATTAACTCACCATTTGAAGTGAGGGATAGGATTGCCCTCTGCAATGCACTCAAATGTTGCCTTGCCTCCAACTTCTACTGTGGAATGGTGCAGTGGCTCCACAAAGCTGGGTCGCATAAAGTCTGGGCCTTCATACAGGTCTGTGTCTGGGGAAAAAAGCAAAATACATGTTATGCAAATGTCAGAATGTCTACTCTAATGGTTATATAAAAATTCTGATAAATATCAATCTTACACTTTGTAAACTTTGGATAAAAGCTACGTAAGTACAACAGTCTCTGCAGGTGTTGACTGCAACCTGTCTCTCCCAGGCTGGAATTATCTAACACATACATTTTTCCCTAACAGTACTTAAAATACTTGTTGATCCTAATGGTCCATCTCCAGACATAAATGCATATACAAGCAATACAAAATGACTGATAGCTTAACAATTAGCCATGTAACTGCCAAAGTTAATCTTCAATAAATCCAGTTAACATTTTTTTTCAACAAACACACCTCCCCAGAAACACAGTATTGGAATGCAGAAAACACATAGAAATATCAGGGCAGCTTCTATGATAACCAAGAGCATGATAATCCTTTGAATCTCTAGCCTGCCTGTTTAATACCCTGCTTCTTAAACATCTTTTCAACTGGATAACATGTACAGGTAATAAAGGAGAATGGAGTCGTGGAGATGGTTTAGATTTAAGTTCCTGACCATACATCTGTCAGGAGTGGATTCAGTTGTTTATGATCAAATTAAAGAACCACCCCTCTAACAGCCATTTTCCAAGAGTTAGCAGTTCAAATGCATATGGTGGGAGAAAACCCTTAAAGTAATCTATTTATAGGTATATCATACCCCTGTCCAATTTGTTTATCTTTAACTAAGCCATACACTGCACTGGTTGAAGCACTTGATCAGTTAAAACTCATGAACATCTCATTGTTTACTATCGTGATATAATCCTCACCTTTAAGTAATTCTTTTCTGTTCAAAAGCCAAATGTTACCTGTGGAAATTACTGACAGGGCTAATATTGATAGTGCCTATTTTGTACCATCATGGTAATGGTATCCTGCTATGAATGACCGTTTTTCATCGCTAAATTGCTATTTTAATGAATACATACATGTCATCAATTTGATTTTTTAAAACATATAATAGACTTTTATTTTTTAAAACATGTAACAGAAGATTTCTGTGAGATGCCTCCCTTAATATATCACAACTGTACGGATTTAGTAAGGGATATAAATCTGCTGAGATATCTACTGAGAAAAAAAATGCTCCCACTTACTACAATATGTCTAAATCTGCAACATTTAAAGACTGACACTGCAATATTTTTCCATTCTTTTCAAATTGTGTAAATTTGTTATTTGGAAAACTTTCAAGCTACATGCCAAAACTCCTAATACCTTTCTTTAGCAGCTTTTTTCCCCCGAGACGTGTTCTACATTTATTTGATATCATTTCCAATATAACTGCAAAAAACTTATAACAATTTGATGTCTTTACCTTGCACATCCAGAGTTGCATTACATGATACTTCTCCCTCGCTATTCATTGCACTGACAGTGTATGTCCCAGCATCCTCCAGGGTAGCTTTGGCGATCTCTAGCGACAGCAGTCCATAGTTGTTCTGAAATATATGATGGTGAGTGCTTACAAAGAGTTGCTCAGGTGGTGGAAAATACTGAATTTTGAACTCGTTTTCATCAATTTCTTTCTCATCTTCAGACACTTCCTGGGGATCTCTGAACAAGGACGCTCGTCTTTGAAATTCTGCAGTTGGTAGCACTGCCGGCAGTGACATCTTTCTTGAATTGTAGGTGGCGCCATATTGCTTAGAATATGGAATTGGGGCTATGCTGGAATATCGTCTGCCTTTCTGATCCATTTTAAGATTTGGTCTGAAAATTTTCAAGATGGCTAGTAGACCCTAGATCAACCAAGTCCTTTCACTGTGACTATACAACAGCAAGTTTTATGACACAACACCCTATCTCAGTTATTTGAGGATATTAAAGAATGCACTTTTCAAAATGATCCTGTTATAAAAACTGTACACCATGTCTTATGGTATAATGTTGACATCAAAGTTTGGTGTGGTTGGGAAGCATATACATGCATCTTAGCAGTATTAAAGTGGGCAATTTAGGCTGAACAAACAGAGAAGTAGTTAACCTTTTTCCTCCACACAAACTGTTCAGTCTAGATCTAAGTGTTAGGTCAAGTTTAGTGTCAACAAAATTTTATTGCTTCATTGACTGTAGCTGTCCCATCTGAAGTTATAGCTGGTTGGAGCCATCAGGCAACCTTTAATTGCCACACTAAGAGACATACTTTAGTATTCATTTACTTCCAGCTTATCTGGGGCTATGTTTATTTGAACAGATATCACGGAAAGTTTTATCACCAAAATTGAAGTTTGATTTATTGCTGTATTTGCAATGTTAACAGTGATGTAATGTCTGTTGTGTGACATTCCTGGTCGTCCAGTCAACACATGGTCAAAATGGTATGTCCACAATTGTCCTCTATAGAGACCACTAGCAGAGATTGATAAGCAGAATACTGATGAGATTTCCAAAATATTTATTTTCAAAGATCAATTCTACTTAGACTGAGAATTTTTTTTTGCATATTTCTTGTTTTAATTGTGACAAACATGTTGTTTATGAATTTAACATGACAGAAGTTGTATGCTCCTTAAATTGCTTTATTTGTTAAAATGTTAAAAAACATTTAAAAATTTTGCTTCATTTGCTATCATTTCTTAAGATAAGATTTATGTTACAAATTTAGAGCAAATGTAAATGTCTTTTCATAACCAAAGCTAAGTGACTCCTAAAAAGAATTGATAAGAAAAACAGGCATTTTCCAGCTTGATTATTTACTTTAATGTTGAAATTTGTAAGAAAATTCAAGATGGTACTATAATATTATATAATAGTTATTGAGTCAAAAAACAGAATTCAGGTACAATTATACAGAATGAGCATAAACTTACCCATTATAGCATTGTTCACTAAATATGCAATTTTATACTTTGCTTTTAATAATTATATCAAGCGGTGTCATTATTTCTCATAAATGCAAAATGACAATCCACATCATATCTTCCTTACCTTGATAACATGTCTCTCATCCTCCTTGACTTTTCTGCCATCTTTGTGCCAGACAGCCTCTGGTGGGGGCACGCCAGCCACTGAGCAACTCAGTTTCACATCCATTCCTCTGTCCACCATCTTGGATCTTAATTTTACTGTGAATTCTGGTGCTTTGTCTAATTTGTATTTTCTAGCTGATGGCTCGAATTTTTCATCCTCCTCTGGAATGGCTGCAGGTCTCTGTGGAACTGCTTGGGAGGCAGGAACAGCTGAAAATGTATTGTGAATTTAGGCACACCATCCTTATATTTTTCACTGATATTGTAGTATTGACTGAAATTTTATGATTATATATATTTTTTTTAAATTTGAATTTCTTGAAAAATTGATTGATTACTGTTTGCTAAAAAGAACTTCAAAAGTAGTAAACAAAGATGTTGAAATGTTCACTGCACTGAAAAACATTGACGAATAATCCATTTTCAATTTATAAACCTTTTATTTAATTAAATATAATATTGAGGAATCCCCATGTTTTAATATTCAAAAATATTAATTATATTTCACGCATCTTACTATAGGAAAAACGGGGAAAAACAACATTACATACCATATACTTTGAGCTGGGCCTCAGTACTGGTGGTACCTGCTGGATTGACAGCACGGCACATGTAGGCACCAGCATCTTCAGGGAATGCTTCCTGGATTATCAACTGGTACGTCTCTGCATCAGGATGCAGCATCTGGTAGTGACGACCATGTTTAATTTCTTTTCGGTCTTTGCACCTAAAATGTACACAGGCATTATTCAGTCATTGTTTTATTTTGATCTATAATCAAACCTGAGAGACCCTTTTAAAAAAATCCCAATTTTGTAAATAAATCAAAATTTTTAAATTCTCTAAATGACTGAAACATCTATGCTGTATCTGTAAAATGTGGGGCAGCATATTTAAAAGCCAGTGAAGGTAAGTAATGGAATAAATAAATATTTAAATATAAGATTGTGTTGTAACCAATATTAATTCCATACGACTTCTGCAAAGAAAGTAAACTGCATCTTACCAAGAAACCTCAGGCTGAGGATGACCTTTAACCTTGCAGTCAAACCTTGCCGCACTGCCCTCCACTATCTTTTCTTCCTTCAACTTGAGGGTGAATTCTGGGGCTTCATAGTCTGCTGGAAGCTGGGCTTTTTCTGTTAAAAAATATAGGTGTTACTTTAATTTTTTGCAAAGTGATTTTGGTATATCGTTTGTTTTTGTAAATTTGCTTGCAGTTATGGCATTTTTCTATGACTTAATAACATGGACTTTTTACATATACTCAAAATATTTTCACGTGCTAGTTTAGGTGCATTAATAAGACAATATAAAACACAGACAACTATGAAGCAACTGTTACTTGGTAACTTTTAATCAGTTCCCAAAATCCTCACCTATGAGAGCAATTCTACAAGAGGAAATGAAGCAATTTGAAACCCATCCTACATGTAATATGAACAACTCACCTATGACAGTGACCTGGCAGGCACATGATGCTCTGCCCAGAGAGTTCACACCTATACACTTCCACTCCCCAGCATCTTCTGGCTTCACATCAAGTATCTTGATCCTGTACACCCCCTTGTCATGGTCCAGTTTGAACCTGCGGCTTGGTCGATTCTCTTGGCCATTGTGGTGCCATGTTACCTTAGGCTCAGGGCGGCAAGTCACTAGGAAATTAGGAAACAAAAAAATGATACTAAGTCACTAGTAACTAAAATCTCAGTTATGCAAAATGACTGGTTGATTGCAAAATCAAGAATATAGAAACAGTAGGAATATCCTGGCAATATTCACAACAGCATGATACAAAAATATTTAGTTTCTGTACCTTATTCTTTGATTTTTGAAGTGTATGACACTATGCTGGAAATATAGCTGTAAAGGTGTTAATTAATTTTATATCTCTTTCTTTGTTTTTCTTCCTTTCTTTTAATAAAGTCCTAATTACACTGTACCACATACATGTAGAATACAGTACCTTGTTGCTTTGGTTAAGAAAAAAGGTCAATTTTTGTGGAGAAATACAAGTAACAAATGTAAAAAGATAAAGATAATATACATGGTCAAGATGCACAGAAGACAATTAAAATACAAAGACAGCATCGACCTACCTGTTACTGCCATCTCTAGGTTTTCACCCACTTTGATGCTCTGGTCCATGAGAGGCAGGGTGAACTCTGGTGGAATGTCTACTTCTTCTGGCGGGGTTATTTCACGCTCCTTCTTAGGTATTCTGTAAGTAATAAGTTTAACAAGATTTGGGCAAGTTTTCATAAGGTATATTCAAAAATATATTTATTTCATAGTTAAGGAAATAATGGAATCTCTTTACAATTAGGGAAAAAGATAAAACAAAGTAGCCAAAGGGGCTGTAAAGAATACATGTCACTGTTTCAAACAATCATCTTTATGTTTAAGGAAATGGCATGTCAGTTGGACTTCTTGGAATAAAGTCATGTAAATCTTTTCCATGTGTATAAAGTCTTTTACCTCTTTCTAAGTCTCTCCTCCTCCAAAGATTGTCTTCTTCTCTTTTTGAAACCTGATTCTGAATTNTCTTTGACAATGGCCCACATTCAACTACATGCTGACATTGAGATATTTCTGCAGTTAGGACAAACAGATAGAGGATAAGAACACAGAAAATGCAACTTGCATGTAAACGAGTAGTTTAACTTAATCCACCAATAATACACAAACTGCACAAATTGCCCATCAATCAAAGTAACTGAACATATCTCCCTACCTTCTACAGTCAATTTCCCACTGGTGCCAATTTCTCCCATGTCATTCACAGCTTTACATGTGTATATCCCAGCATCTTCTGGCTCCACATCATTGATGTACAAACTTGCCACATTGTCTTTGTAAACCATCTCATATTTGTCACTAGGCAAACAGGCTTCACCTGCTTTGTACCAGTGGAATTCTGGCACTGGTTTGCCTGAGATCTTACACTTAAAGCGTCCACTTGTGCCCTCATAAGCTTCGACATCATTGAGCTCTTGTTCTATTCTGGGCTCATGGTCAGCCATTTCTAAGTGGAAAGTGAAGTAATAAAAATTTAACTTAAGACAAAATATTTGCCTCTGAATAATGAATCTTATTTTAATGTTATTTCAATTTAAAATGTTAATAATCAAATTCAGATATCACATTTCTCATTCTTTGCAACACTATTCAAACAATGTTCAAACACAGCAACATAAGTAATTATTATTTTTAATCTTTACCTGGACTTGAAGGGTTTGTTAACAGACAATAACTATGGCACTGTCACTTTAGAAATAGATTTAAAAACTTTGTATACTGTCTCTACTACATGTCTAACAATCTTCTTTAACTTCTGACATACCAAGCTTGAGTTGTCTCTCAAAGGCACCTTCATCTGTAAGTTTACTGAAGATAGCACTGAGCTTGGCCAGTCTGCCAATGGCAAGAACTTTCTCCATGCACTCCTGGAATATAGATGTGTGCCAGTGTGTTAGGTCTGACAATGTGTCTAGCATGACAGTGCCTGTACATGGCTATAAGAAGACAAGTGAGTAAAGATTTAAATCTTTTAACAAACCTTTTTTCTTGCAGTAATTAATTTTTCATGCTAAGATTTACCTTCCACCTCTTCCTAGCCAGATAGCTCTTGTGATGTTCTGTGGACAGTTGCTTGTCTGGCACTCTGCTCTCAGCCAAGCCCTGTGGATAGATTGTAAGCAATATAAATATATGCAATAGCTATGCTTCAAAACTACAACACTTTTCTTCAAAAAGAGAAATTGGAAGGAACTGTAAAAGGCTGACAGCGTACAAACTATGTACATTTACAAGAGAAATGTAAACCACAGAAGGAAGAATAGAAGATGAACATATAAATGAAATGAGACAAAGCAGGTCAAATAATGAAATAAGTCTGTTAATAAACATTAATTATTAAAAACTTTTGGTACTAAATTAAACATAAAATCTGCAAATAAATGTGAGAATATTTCATGCATTCCTCTATTCCTTATTTCTAATTTTTTATTCAGTGCGAGAAGTGCCATTCCTGCACACACTGTAAGTGTGAAATAAAACCCAAGCCATTAGTTTGACTTACCTCTATCTCTTTCAGATGTCCAAGAGCATCCAGTATCTGAGGCATCTGGTACTGGGGGTATGGCTAGTAAAGCAATCACACAACATGCTGGTTTTTATTATTCCCAAGGATGGTTTAAATATACACAGGGAAAAGCCAGGAAGACAAATGTCCCCTTGAGAAAATTTATTCTAACCCTCCCCTCCTCCTCCCCCCAAATAATAAATCTAAAAATTCCCTGACCAATAATAATACAGGAGACAGCAATGTAGTTTGTGCATATAAATAAAAATGGGTGCCATATGTAAAATAAGTAGTGAAAACATAAGAAGGCAATATTAACACTTCCAAACATTGTGCATGGTTTCATTCGATCTTATCAGTGAAAAGCTCACAACACAGATGATATCTGCTTATTTTAGAAAAAAAAACCAAAAAGAAATAAAATTACATGTCTACACATGTATTTTCCATCGTTTTGCTTTAACTAGCAGCAAGCAATATATAATATAGCCACAGTAGCAATTAATCAAATACACTAATATAAATGAAAAAGCAGTTTTTATGTCATCTTTAAGGTGAGCATATATGTCAGCATTGCAACAACACAAAGCCTGCTTATTGCCAAGTATGTTATTTTTGAGAGCAATGGGGAAAAAACAAAATATCTTATCATTCAAATTTGGTATAAAATAAATATACACTTTTACACAGTTAAAATGCATGCATATAAAGACAGTTAAAATACACATTACACAGAGACTTACATTAAGCCATGGGTGGTTCAGGGCTTGTTCAATTGTCATTCTTTTCCTGAAAAAAAAATTGACCACATTTAAAAGTCAAATGTATTAAGTGGACAAGGGCTTGTATTTTATGACCTTGTTCTTTTAAAAGTTAACATGTTTACATTTCATTTCAAGACAATAAGACATTTCAGATATGACAACCAGGTGAATCATCATACATAATATTAAAATAATTGAAACGTTATATTAGAGGCAAAGATATAAGGTTTTTTTCATGTCTTACTTGGTGTCCTTGACCAGACACTTAGAAATGAAGTCTTTTGCATCAGGTGAGATTTGTTCCCAACACTCGTCATCAAAGTCATAGTCCACTGCAATCACATTGGCAAATGTCTCCTGGTCATTGTCACCAGCAAATGGGGACAACCCTGACACTCTGAATTCAGGACACAATGAAAACATATAAGTTTTTTTTAATAACTAAATTCTGATTATGAGTGAGACAAATCCTAAAAGGCATCACAAATGCAACAACAGAATAACATTTCCAAGATGTTAAGAAAACTGCTGTTTATAGGCACTAATTTCTAAAATATATTTTTGTACTTACAACATGATGATGAAAATGCATCCATTTTTGTAAAGAAACAGTGATTAAATCAATTTAACCATGTCTTATGACATCCGTACAGCTATACAGTTTACTTACAGCACATATGCCACCACTCCCAGAGACCAGACATCTGTCTTAACACTGACTGGTTCCCAGTTCAGAACTTCAGGAGCAGTGAACTCTGCAGTGCCAAACAGGACATTGATGGACTTATCCTGTTCCACTTTGTGGGCAAGACCAAAGTCTATGATCTTTATGTCTTTGCTCTTACTGGTAGTGCATAAAACGTTCTCAGGCTGAAAAGGAATAACATATATCAAATGGGCTGAATAAAGTAAAGACATGAAAGTATGTTACAGTACAAGTGTACTGTACTAAGATACTGAATAAGTAGTGAATTAATAGCTATATCCAATCCATTAAATCAAACACTGATAACTATAATTTTTACCCTTTTATTTAGTTCTTTAAATACAAATAATATCTAGATATGAAAAATATCTAGCTAGGTGGTAAGATTTACTGACCTTGAGGTCTAGATGGACAACGTCATTCCTATGCATGTGCTGCACACCTTCGCAGATCTGCCTCATGTAGTGGATGCAGTCGCGCTCTGTCAGACCAAAGTCCTCGTCCACCAGTCTCTCAAACAGTTCTCCACCAGACACACTGAAAACAATGGGTAACAGTCAGTCCTTATGGTATTCACACAGAAATTTGGGATCTTTTTTAAACTGAATACTTTAATGAGTTATATGAAGTTTTTATTTAATCAGTATTTTGGAAACTAAAATAAAATGACAAACAATATTCCAATCACCTTTAAATAACTGAGAATATCTTGATCAAAAGTTATTTCAAAACAATTGGGCCTTTCACCATCTTTGATTCATTAACATTTATTTAGGCAGGATTGCAAAAATAATAGCTAATAATTCTAGAATCATAAAAAATAGGACGAATCTTGCTTACAATTCCAGAATCATCACCATCATGTCAGGCATGTCAAAGGCTTCATGGAGCTGCAGAAGACGTGGGTGGTGAAGGTTATTCATCACATCTATCTCCCTCTTCACAGCATTCTTGGCAGCCTTGGTGGGGCACCTGATGAACTTAGCAGCCCAGGTCTTGCCAGTGGCACGCTCTATGGCTCTATGGACAACTCCAAATGCTCCTCTGAAAAGATTAATGACAGTATGATTGTAGATTTAATCAGAATTTGGATGTAAATGTACAATATTTCTTAGTCTAATCATTTACTTTATTTTTGTAGAGACTCCCAAATTGTGAATGCGCAATTGTACTTTGACAGTTAAGATTTTTGTTTTTAACTATCTAATTCAGATAAATGAGCAGATACAGAGCACATTGTTCATAATTTGGAATTATGTATATCTGAAAAGGATTAGTATCATCTAACATACCTTCCCAGTTCCTCCAGTATGATGTACTTGGAGTGGACATCTCTGCCCAGTCTGTCAAGGTCGACATTGTTGTAAGTGAATTTAGGATCCACTGGAAACAATATAAATCCACTTTATTTTCTGAATCAATTAATGTTGTATTATTTATGATGTAAAATAATTACTACATACTGTTTATCTGAACCAGTACTCTATCAGTGTTATCTACAATAAAAATTATTCTGAAAAAAAACTTTTTCTTTGCAATGACATCAAAGGGCACTGCAAATCTTTTTGGCACCCATACTTACCAAGTGAATCATAATCCACATCCACTCTGGGCAGCTGAGTCCTGACTGGCTCCGATGGTTCACTAGGCTCACTGACTCCATACAGGTTCTCAGCAGCCACTCGGAACTGATACTCTGCATTCTCCTTTAGTTCCACTATGGTCAACTCTGTGATGTGTCCTCGGGTGGTAGCTACCCGAGCCCATGGCTCATCTATTCCTGATTCTCGCATCTCTACAATGTAGGCAGTGATAGGGGAGCCACCATCATCTACAGGGGGGATCCAGGCAATGGAGACATAATCTAGGTAGACTTCAATAACCTCAGGAGCACCATCTGGTGGGTCAGGGCGATCTGTGGAAAACAGAATACAATTTGACTTGAATAATGATGCATGTCATAATTTTCATAAAAAAATTCATATTTATCACTAACACCCTGCTCATACATAGTATAGTTAACTAGTGACATTAAGTTCAATTTTATCATTGTATACACAATTTAGTACTAATTTGCGACTGCTCATTTGCATAATCCAGATAATGATAAAACAGCCAGCTAATAACTGTTCAAAGTAAAATCATTACACACTCATCCACATTACCTGTGATTCCAACTGGTATATTGACAGCATCAGATCCAAGGTCATTGACCAGTTTCAGTTTATACATGCCATCGTCCACCTTGTCACAGTTGTCAATCAACAGGGTGGCATGGTGGTCAGTGTTCTCCATGGTAACCCGGTCAGAGGGCACAAGGGGGCGTCCATCTCTGAACCACAGGACCTCTGGGGTGGGGCGTCCAGAAATTGCCACTTTGAGCTTCATTTTGTCTCCTTTGTTTACCTGCACACCATCTGCATATCTGGCAGGGAGGTTGATCTTTGGAGGAGCTAAGAGGCAGAAATTTATAAATTTTTATATAGGATTTAATACATGATTTGTCCAATTTTTTTAAACAGCTATAGTGAGGCTTATAACTTCAACAGTACATACCTTATCCAAAAAGTAATTATAATATGAAACCATGTATATATAGTATTATTATCATCATTATTTATTTTAAATCTCTGTAAATTATTGTTTGTGTTTTGTAACTGTAATCCCTTTTATATTCAAGCGCAAAGCAGCAGCCTAGTCAATAAAAGAGGAAGGAAATCAAGATGAGCTAAGTATCTCATCAGTCTCATTCTAACTTTTTATTTATGATGGTGAATGCAACCTACCTTTGACAGTGAGCAGTGCCTTGGTGACAGCATGTCCCTTCTTATTGGTAGCTTTGCACTCATATATTGCTGTGTCATCTGGTTTAGCATCAAATATCTCCAGCAAACACTTGTCACGCTCCACAAACATACTGTATTTTCTACCTTCATAGATTTCTGTCATGTCTTTGTACCTGCAAGAGATATAGGAATAAATGGGTTTCTTCATGCTGAAAGTGCATGTCTGAATGTAACAAAAACACTGCATTGAAAGCAGCAGCCATCTTTAGTAAATTCTTACTTCTGTAGCAATGTATATAACCAAATAAATAGAATTATTATTAATGTACATTCATCAAGCCTTCATATGTGAAAAACAATGGCTACATACCACTGTATTGTAGGTTTTGGTTTGCCTTGCACCTTGCACTCCATGGTGGCTTTAGTGTTTTCCTTCCCTATGGTATCCTGCAGCAGACTGCTGAACACTGGGGCTTGGTTGGCTGAATACAATATAGTTCATAAGAATCACTTCAATATTATCATACTGAAAGTTTCATCATATGCTTTCATAGTCCAACTACTTGAATGAAGCAATTTATTTAACAGATATCATAAAGTCTAGATACAGGTTCACAAAAGTTTGTCTACATCAAATTGGATGACAAGTTATTTTCAAATAGTACAGACAGCTCCAGAGAAAATGAATAAGAATATGTATTTATCACCAATATGTATTTATTACCAATGAAATGAATACATATTTAACATTCAGGTGATATACATATTATCTGAATGATTACCGTCTTTGTCCTCCACCGCCACCAGTTCTGATGGTGGAGATGGTTCACTCAGTCCCTCGGCATTCTCAGCTATCACACGGAACTCATACTGACAGCCCTCCAGTAGGTTTGGTATGGTCATTGTTAGGTCCAGTTGTTTGGTCTTGTTGACCCTCATCCACCTCACACTGCTGCCCTCACGGCGGTCAACATGGTAAGTGGTAATTTTGGAGCCACCATCATTCTCTGGGGCTGTCCAGGTAATTACCACACTGTCCTTGGTGACATTGCTGACTTCTGGACGACCAGGTGGCCATGGTGGAACTTTTAAGAAAATAGGTATAGATAAAGTATATTTTGGCTGAATTGTAAATTAATCATGTTCTAAAATGATATCAAAGGGTAATTAAGCCACACAGGGAGTGCCAGTCATTTTGTGGGCTCATTTCTGGAAACATACCAATAAAACAGACAAAATGGGGTAAAGGACAAAATATGCTTTCTTGAAGTTGGTTTCCTGGCAGTTCTGAGAAAAAAAAAACCTGCAAAAAATGTGTCAAAACACTTCATATTCAAAATAAAACACCACATTCACATCTGTACATAAACTTTTCTCTCACTCAAACAGGAGCACTAACTTACTTACCTTTCAAGTCTTGAGGTACAACTGGTGTACTTAGTTCACACATTTCACTTTGGCCTATTTCATTTTCTGCTGCCACTCGGAACAGATATTCTTCCCCTTCTGTGAGGTCAGTTATTTTGATTTTATTGTCTTTGAGCTTAGCTATTTGCACCCAATTTTTAGCCTCAGGTCCTAGTTTTTCTACTACATAGCCTTTAACTGGTTTGCCACCATCGTCCAGGGGCAAGTCCCAAGACAGGACCACTGAGTCTTTTGTTGTCTGCATGACACGCAGAGCAGCAGGAGGCTGAGGAGCAGCTAGAAAAGAGGTCAAGTTTGAGGTAAAGGAAAGGAAAGATTGCCACTAAACTAAAGCTCAGGTTATGATGTGCTGTCATGACCCAGAATGTGCTTTTAAAGTGCAATTGGGGTTTACACATGTAAGCCAAGGGGGCCAGCCTTACTGTGCACTGCACAGATATTTTCATTTTTTAAAACTCACAGTGATGTTTGTCATTTACATGGATAAGCTTTGTGGTGATGAAAATATACAAACAAGCAGACTGACGATATCAGGTATGAATTTCAAAAAATTCACTTTTGACTCAATCGGGATATGACAAACTTTATGATGAGAAAAATGTTATAAGAGTTTTTAATCATGTAAGAAATAAATCTACCCTAAACACAAAGTTTTCTTTAGAAACTGACAATTTGTAAACAATTCATCAGCTTCAAATATTTAATATGTTACAAAGAAGTATAAATGGATTAATATGAATCAGAATGTATCAGAAATGACTACTTTAAGGTAGCACAAGAAAGAAGTTTGATTACTGGTAAGCTAAGCAAGAATCAAACAAAACTAGTATACTAACTCCAGAGAAACTTTTTGATCCTGAAAAAAATATCACCTGTTTATGGATATTAGAGTTTCTGAAATGAGACCTTTGTTGGATTAGGCATATGTTGTATCAAATACAACATATTACAATACTGCATTGGCATCATACTTACTTAACACCTTGGCTGGGACAATAGGAGAGTCTGTAACCAAAGGTTCTCCCACACCATAGCCATTTTCAGCCATGACTCTAAAGTAGTACTCTTTACCCTCAATCAGGTGATCAATAATGAAGGTCATGTCCTTGACCTTGGTCTTTCCAGCACTGATCCAGGACCTTCTGGCAGCGTCACGCTTCTCAATGATGTATCCTTTGATTAGAGAGCCTCCATCATCAAGTGGAGCATTCCATGAAATGGTGACTGAGTCACTGGTGATTTTGTTGACTTTAATTGGGCCCTCTGGAGGACCAGGTGGACCTAAAGACAGATTAAATGAAAATATAACTTTATTATTTTTTATTCACATATCAATCTATCATTTAATTCTTAAACTGGCAGTGTTTGACAAACTATAAAATTTAAGAAATGTAGTTATCATATTTAAAACATCCTTCACCCTTTTTTCCAGAGACTATTACAATTCCTGAGCAGTTGCAATATTTTACAATTTTGCCACAACACTGTACTGTTTATCATATGAAATGGANTATCCAAAAAGTAATTATAATATGAAACCATGTATATATAGTATTATTATCATCATTATTCATTTTAAATCTCTGTAAATTATTGTTTGTGTTTTGTAACTGTAATCCCTTTTATATTCAAGCGCAAAGCAGCAGCCTAGTCAATAAAAGAGGAAGGAAATCAAGATGAGTTAAGTATCTCATCAGTCTCATTCTAACTTTTTATTTATGATGGTGAATGCAACCTACCTTTGACAGTGAGCAGTGCCTTGGTGACAGCATGTCCCTTCTTATTGGTAGCTTTGCACTCATATATTGCTGTGTCATCTGGTTTAGCATCAAATATCTCCAGCAAACACTTGTCACGCTCCACAAACATACTGTATTTTCTACCTTCATAGATTTCTGTCATGTCTTTGTACCTGCAAGAGATATAGGAATAAATGTGTTTCTTCATGCTGAAAGTGCATTTCTGAATGTAACAAAAACACTGCATTGAAAGCAGCAGCCATCTCTAGTAAATTATTACTTCTGTAGCAATGTATATAACCAAATAAATAGAATTATTATTAATGTACATTCATCAAGCCTTCATATGTGAAAAACAATGGCTACATACCACTGTATTGTAGGTTTTGGTTTGCCTTGCACCTTGCACTCCATGGTGGCTTTGGTGTTTTCCTTCCCTATGGTATCCTGCAGCGGACTGCTGAACACTGGGGCTTGGTTGGCTGAATACAATATAGTTCATAAGAATCACTTCAATATTATCATATTGAAAGTTTCATCATATGCTTTCATAGTCCAACTACTTGAATGAAGCAATTTATTTAACAGATATCGTAAAGTCTAGATACAGGTTCACAAAAGTTTGTCTACATCAAATTGGATGACAAGTTATTTTCAAATAGTACAGACAGCTCCAGAGAAAATGAATAAGAATATGTATTTATCACCAATATGTATTTATTACCAATGAAATGAATACATATTTAACATTCAGGTGATATACATATTATCTGAATGATTACCGTCTTTGTCCTCCACCGCCACCAGTTCTGATGGTGGAGATGGTTCACTCAGTCCCTCGGCATTCTCAGCTATCACACGGAACTCATACTGACAGCCCTCCAGTAGGTTTGGTATGGTCATTGTTAGGTCCAGTTGTTTGGTCTTGTTGACCCTCATCCACCTCACACTGCTGCCCTCACGGCGGTCAACATGGTAAGTGGTAATTTTGGAGCCACCATCATTCTCTGGGGCTGTCCAGGTAATTACCACACTGTCCTTGGTGACATTGCTGACTTCTGGACGACCAGGGGGCCATGGTGGAACTTTTAAGAAAATAGGTATAGATAAAGTATATTTTGGTTGAATTGTAAATTAATCATGTTCTAAAATGATATCAAAGGGTAAATCAAGCCACACAGGGAGTGCCAGTCATTTTGTGGGCTCATTTCTAGAAACATACCAATAAAACAGACAAAATGGGGTAAAGGACAAAATATGCTTTCTTGAAGTTGGGTTTCCTGGCAGTTCTGAGAAAAAAAAACCTGCAAAAAATGTGTCAAAACACTTCATATTCAAAATAAAACACCACATTCACATCTGTACATAAACTTTTCTCTCACTCAAACAGGAGCACTAACTTACTTACCTTTCAAGTCTTGAGGTACAACTGGTGTACTTAGTTCACACATTTCACTTTGGCCTATTTCATTTTCTGCTGCCACTCGGAACAGATATTCTTCTCCTTCTGTGAGGTCAGTTATTTTGATTTTATTGTCTTTGAGCTTAGCTATTTGAACCCAATTTTTAGCCTCAGGTCCTAGTTTTTCTACTACATAGCCTTTAACTGGTTTGCCACCATCGTCCAGGGGTAAGTCCCAAGACAGGACCACAGAGTCTTTTGTTGTCTGCATGACACGCAGAGCAGCAGGAGGCTGAGGAGCAGCTAGAAAAGAGGTCAAGTTTGAGGTAAAGGAAAGGAAAGTTTGCCACTAAACTAAAGCTCAGGTTATGATGTGCTGTCATGACCCAGAATGTGCTTTTAAAGTGCAATTGGGGTTTACACATGTAAGCCAAGGGGGTCAGCCTTACTGTGCACTGCACAGATATTTTCATTTTTTAAAACTCACAGTGATGTTTGTCATTTACACGGATAAGCTTTGTGGTGATGAAAATATACAAACAAGCAGACTGACGATATCAGGTATGAATTTAAAAAAATTCACTTTTGACTCAATCGGGATATGACAAACTTCATGATGAGAAAAATGTTATAAGAGTTTTTAATCGAGTAAGAAATAAATCTACCCTAAACACCAAGTTTTCTATAGAAACTGACAATTTGTAAACAATTCATCAGCTTCAAATATTTAATATGTTACAAAGAAGTATAAATGGATTAAAATGAATCAGAATGTATCAGAAATGACTACTTTAAGGTAGCACAAGAAAGAAGTTTGATTACTGGTAAGCTAAGCAAGAATCAAACAAAACTAGTTTACTAACTCCAGAGAAACTTTTTGATCCTGAAAAAAATATCACCTGTTTATGGATACTAGAGTTTCAAATTCTGAAATGAGACCTTTGTTGGATTAGGCATATGTTGTATCAAATACAACATATTACAATACTGCATTGGCATCATACTTACTTAACACCTTGGCTGGGACAATAGGAGAGTCTGTCCCCAGAGGTTCTCCCACACCATAGCCATTTTCAGCCATGACTCTAAAGTAGTACTCTTTACCCTCAATCAGGTGATCTATGGTGAAGGTCATGTTCTTGACCTTGGTCTTTCCAGCACTGATCCAGGACCTTCTGGCAGCGTCACGCTTCTCAATGATGTATCCTTTGATTAGAGAGCCTCCATCATCAAGTGGAGCATTCCATGAAATGGTGACTGAGTCGCTGGTGATTTTGCTGACTTTAATTGGGCCCTCTGGAGGACCAGGTGGACCTAAAGACAGATTAAATGAAAATACAACTTTATTATTTTTTATTCACATATCAATCTATCATTTAATTCTTAAACTGGCAGTGTTTGACAAACTATAGTTATCATATTTAAAACATCCTTCACCCTTTTTTCCAGAGACTATTACAATTCCTGAGCTGTTGCAATATTTTACAATTTTGCCACAACACTGTACTGTTGATCATATGAAATAGAAAAAATATCTTCCTACATATTTTTCCTGTATATTAAATTCTTATCTTACCATATGGGCTCTTTGGAATAATCTTCTCAGATTCAATAGGTGGACCAACACCAGCTTCATTTTCAGCTGACACCCTGAAGATGTACTCTACTCCCTCTATCAAGTCATGGACAACTGATGTTGTGAAGTTTGGCTTGACTCTTGCGACACGGAACCACTCTCCTCTTTTCACATCACATTTCTCCACAATGTAACTAGTGAGTTCTGATCCACCATTGTCAGTCGGGGGCTGCCATGACAGTTTGATGCTGTCCTCTGTCACATTGGATATTTCTAGAGGGCCAACTGGAGCCAATGGTTTTTCTGGACAGAAGAAAAACACAAATTTGAAATACACTTGAATACTAAATTTAATTGGATGAGTCTCCTTTGATGGAATGGAAAGTAATTTTAGCTCTGAACTACCTTTAAATTTCAATTAAAAATCAAATTCATTATATTCATCTATTAGGTAAAATCTGGAAAAATACATTTCAGACAGAAATTTCAGCCTACCCATTGGTCTTCTTGGTGTAATTGGCTCAGTAACAACTCTAGGTCCAATTCCTGCAGCATTCTCAGCAGCCACTGAGAAAAAGTACTCAGTATCTTCAACCAGCTTATCTATGAAGCATACAAATGTTGTTTTGTCAACGATTCCTCGCTTTTCCCAGCGATCATCTCTTGGAAAGTCTCTTGTCTTCTCCTGCTGTTCAACATGGTAAAAAGTGACTGGAGCACCGCCTGAGTCTGCTGGCTTCTGCCATTGTAGAGTAACAGAGTCAGTGGAGATACCAGTGATTTGGACCTTCAGTGGTTCTGAGGGAGGTTCTAGAGAAATATCAGAATCCAGAATTAAATAATTGCCTAGCTTATTCATATCTCTGTCTGATAATAATGAAAAGTATTCATTTTAATTTCACAACAAAAAGGAATATGTAAAATTGGATATTGACACAGACTTACTCTATTATGTTTGCATTTACTCTATAAGCAGAATATATGGATTATAACCTATCATAAATGTGATACCCAAATATATTTGTAGATAAACATGTCTACAAACTTAAAAAGATTAAATACATATTTCAAATTTCAGACTTACTCATCTGCTTGCTGACTTTAACTGGCTCCTCCAACTCTGCAGCATCACCAACACCTTCCACATTCTCTGCTCTCACTGTGAAGAAATACTCCTTGTCTGCCACCAGGCTAGGTACAGTATAACTGGTCACTCTGGCCTTCACTTTGTCTACCTCTGTCCAAGTTCTCCTCGAGATCTCACGTTTATGGATGATGTATCCAGTAATGGAAGAGCCGCCATCATTGGCAGGTGGTTGCCACTCTAATGTCACACTGTCCTCTGTCACACCAGTAACTGAGAAACTGTCTGGGGCAGATGGTGGACCTATTGAATAAAAGGTGATGGAGTGGCTATATATTTCATATAAATATACTATCTTTAGTGGCAAGGCTTTACAAAGGGTTGTCTAGTAATTTATAAGTCTCACTGACTGAATATACTGACTTAAATTAAAATTTCAAAGAATACAGGCTGAAAACTTTACTACAACCATGTTATAACTTAAAGGCAATAAATTAATCACTAATTTTTATATAATAGTAATCTGTAGAAGTTCATCCCAGAGTATTTATTTTACATACTCTCTGCATTCATAAGCAAATTACATATCAATAAGCCAATCACTTACCATATGGACTCTTAGTTGTGACAGGTTCCTTCATCTCCAAAGGCATGCTCATACCCTTCACATTCTCTGCTGAAACCCTAAACAGGTATCTGTGTCCATCTATCAGACCAGTCACCTTATGGGTCAATTTATCAGGTCTTATCTTGTCCACTTTTGTCCAGCCCGGCATCTGAGTGTCACGTTTCTCCAACAGGTAGCCTGTGATTGGACTGGCTCCGTCATCTTCTGGTGCCTGCCAGGAGAGGGACACTGAATCTTTGGTCACATTGGAGGGTGTCAAGGGGCCTTGAGGGGCACCTGGTTTGCCTAGACATAATATAAATACAGTGGTTGTTTTTAAACATCGTGGCAGGCAACAAAAATGCTTTTCACTAACAAAATTTTCATTTACAAAATTTTGATAGAATACAACAAGGTCACATAAGCATTGTCAAAATAAGTATATCAGTAACCTGTTTTATTGAAATTCCAAGAAATGAGTTAGGATAAGTGTAAAAACAATATCTAAAAATCTGCTTTTACAACAACTCTAATTATTGTAACATACCAACAGCTTTCCTTGTCCTAACAGGTGCTTCAGTCTCCAGCGCTGGACCAGTGCCAGCATCATTCTTGGCAAGCACTCTGAAGTTATAGTCTTTGCCTTCCTCCAAATCTGGCACTGTGAATGTAACAGTGCTACCCTCTACAGACCCGCGTCTGTTCCATTTTCCAGTGGTGTTGTCTTTTTGTTCTATAATGTAGTTCTGAATCCTGGAACCTCCATCATCCACAGGTGGGCTCCACTCCAACATCACAGAATTCTCGGTAATTTTGGGGGTTCTTAGTTTGCCAGATGGTGCAGATGGTTTGGCTGAGAGAAAAAATGATGTGCACTTTTCATTCCACAATATCTTCTTACACATACTTATTAAAAAAAGTAAAATTACATGTATGTTTTAATAATAATAATAATAATAATAATAATAATATTTACAGCCATTTTCATTACAGAAATCAACTGCAGAGTTGGCAATATAACATTCAACAAATGATGATATCCACCTTGGGAAAAGAATTGAAAGGCTCACCTGCTGGTTTCTTTGGTGTCACTGACTTTGTTGTTTCCAGAGGTTCACTGGCACCTTCAGAATTTTCAGCAAAAACTCTGAACTGGTATTCATTGCCTTCCAACAAGTTTGGAACAACAAGTTCACATTTTTCTGGTCTAACTTTATCAACTTGTACCCAAGAAGTCCTTGTCTTGTCTCGCCTCTCCACAACATAGTGTTTGATCGGTTGACCACCATCTTGTTCGGATGGCTTCCATGATAACTTCAGCGAACTCTTACTGACAACAGCAGTTTCAAGGGGTCCTCTTGGTGCTGATGGCACAGCTAAAATTGGGTTATAGAAGTAGAGATAAATGCATTGATTGCACCAGCAACACATCAAAATTGCCATTAAAAATATTCATACAGGTCTGTTTGTATTATTAGTTTTTAATTTGTAAATGAGCACTATAACACAGCTTTATGAACTTGTGATGTAGACCAAATGAGAAATTCAAAATATCTTAAACTAAATCTAACTATTAATAATAACACCAGAAAAACATTCATTAACCGGTACTCACTATAAGGACTCTTTGGTGTAACAGGTTCAAGAAGCTCCAGTGGTTCAGACACACCAACAGCATTCTCAGCCAATACTCTGAAGTTGTACTCTGTTCCCTCAGTTAGTCTGGGAACTTTCAGAGACATAACAGAGGGGCGCAGTGTGTCCACTTTGCTCCATGATGTTCTCCATGCCTCGCGCTGTTCTACGATGTAGGCAGTTATGGGAGAGCCACCGTCTGAGGATGGTTTCTGCCATGTTAGGTTCACAGATTGTTTTTGAATATCAGAGACCTTCAGGGGACCAGTTGGTGCTGTTGGGCAGCCTGATTTAAATTGCAAATTAAAGGTTATAAGGTATTTGTCAATTTTCAAATTCTATACAACATTCTTATGGAATACAGCCTTTGGATGAATTTACACACAATAATGTATATTTTCAATTTTTATACAACATACTCATCGAATACAAAGTTAAATAGAAAAATGAAAATTTATTATCATGCCGACAGTTTGACTTTCATATTATGTAAATGTATCCTTATTCACAAACTTACTCTGTTTGGCTTTCAAAGTGACTGGTTTTTCCAGATCAAGAGCTTTCCCTACTCCTTTCTCATTCTCAGCACTAACTCTGAACAGCATAGATTTCCCCTCTGGTAGTCCTGTTATTGTATGTGAAGTATCCTTTGGTCCTACTGAAGCAACCATCTCCCAGTCTCTGCCCTTGTCTCCTTTCTTTTCTATCTTGAAGCCCTTGATCTTAGAGCCACCATCATCCACTGGTGGTGTCCACTCTACTGTTGCCTTATCCTTGTCCACACTGGTCACTCTTAGAGACTCTGGGGCAGCAGGAGGACCTACCAAGGGAGATATGCATTTTACATACAACATCATTTTTAATAGAACAAATTTAACAAGGCAGATTACAAACCATCCAAAAATTAACAAATTAACAGCAAAGCCAACATCTGAAGATTAACAAGACATTTATATACCTGCTTTCCTTCTTGGTACAACACCATCTTCCATCTCCAGTGGCTTGCTGTCTCCAACATCATTGACAGCCCTCACCCTGAAGTGATATTCATTACCAGTCACCAAGTTCTTCACTGCATGCTTAGTCTTCTCTGGTGAAATCTTGGCCACTCTGCCCCATGATGTTCTCCCAGACTCCCTGGCTTCTATGACATATGCAGTTAGGGGTTTACCACCATCAGTTTCAGGGACTCCCCATGACAATTCCATAGAATCTTCTGTGATGTTAGCAGCTTTGAGTGGACCCACTGGGATGGATGGGACAGCTAGAAAGATGGGATGGAATAAGATCTATATCAGAAAATCATAAATATTTTTATATCAACTTGATACATGATAGATACTGATATCATCTACCTTAAAAATTCAATATGCATATAATAAAAAATATAAATATTTTTCCTACTAGCTTTCTCTCTCAGCACCTCTCTGGCAAACGAAATATTATTTTCTCAACAACCACCAAATATACAGACTTACTAAATGGGCTTTCCACAAGAACAGGTTTGTCCATTTCCAGGGGCTCACTCAATCCTTTCTCATTTTCTGCTGTCACTCTGAACAAATACTCATTCTTGTTGACTAAACTTGTAATGTTCATTGTTGTGACAGACCCATCAACTTTGCCTGCTTTCTGCCACTTTGGTTTCTGAATATCTCGCTTTTCAACTATATATTGAATGATAGGAGCACCTCCATCGTTAGCTGGGGGCTTCCATTCTATTGTTACAGAGTCCTCTGTCTTCTCTTTGATATCAATTGGTCCAGTTGGTTTCGAAGGAAGTTCTGCAAATCACAATATAATTTGAATTATCCATTTTAAGCAAATAATGATTTTTAAAAATTTTTTTGTAAGTTTGGGAAACATTCTTCATTTGTTTGGATAAAGTTCTACACTATTTCATTTGTATAATGCAATCTAAGATCCAAGTATATACCTCATTGATGTAATCACTTTAGCAGCCGTGTGCTTTATCTAACCCAACAAATATATTTTTAATCAAATTTGATATTGCTGATGTACACAATAAACAAAAACAGGAAATGAGCCAACACCTACCTATTCCTTTTCTAGGCACCACTGCAGCAGATTCCAGGGGTGCACTGTTACCAAACTTATTAGTGGCATACACCCTGAAGTAGAATGTCTCGCCTTCCACCAAATCATCCACTTGACACTTGGTGATGGTAGAATCTACTGTGACTATCTCCATCCAGCTTTCCTTGTCGTCCATGCTGAGTTCTATGGTGTAGGAGAGGAGTGGAGAACCTCCAGAAGACATGGGTGGATTCCAGTACAGGGAAACAGACTCTGCTGTGACATTCTTGAACTCAATTGGTCCAACTGGTGTGCTTGGAGGCTCTGAAAGCATGATCAGTGGAGAATAAATATCCAAAATTTCAAGTATTTTTTAAATGCCAAGAACAACCGTGAACACAGAACAGAAGAGCCAACATATTGAAAGTTTGCAAAGTTATTGTAACTCAAAGTACTATAAAGCATCATATACATATTTTTTGTCAGTTTCTGTACTAATCACTTTAAAAAAGGCACTTACGGGGTCCTGCAGATGGTGTGACTGGTTCCTGAGACTCCAGTGGGGCGCTCTTGCCCTCTGTGTTCTCAGCAAACACTCTAAAGATATAAGGTGTTCCTTCCTTCAGTCCTGTCACCTTACACTCAGTGGTTTCAGGAGGCACTTCATCAACTTCTGACCAACTGTAGCGCCTGGAGTCTCGTTTTTCTACCACATATTTCAGAACAGTGCCATCTGCTGGCTGCCACTGTAGTGTAACTGAGTCCTGGGTGAGGTTCCTTCAGGACCAGAGGGCCCTTGGGAGTGCTTGGTTTTTCTAAGTAATAATTAGATAAAGAGTTGAATGGACAAATAAAAATATTCAAAATAAACTAATGCTGTACCTATTTGTATATAAGGATAATCACGCCAGGCAACATTCAAATGTTCAAATCATTTGCAAACAACTAAATATTTCTTATTCATGGGACTTAATGCATTGCAAACCATGCAGGGATTAACTAGAAAATCAACTGGCTGCATTGGATATTTCTGGTGGACTTAAATAGGTTCAAATCTTGCAAAAAAAAAATCAAACCAAACCAATTGCAATTTAGTTAATATCAGATGCATTAATATTATTAAATGTTTTAGTTCATAAAAAAATCTTTGTTAATCTTACCTTTCTGTATCAATCAGTCAAAATGCCATCATCATTTTCTCAGCTGACATGCAAAAAAGTCTTCAATCCAACCAAGTGTCACTACATTCAGTGGCACGTAACAGTTTGTACAGAAATGCACATATCAAAATTAACAAAGAACATACACTAGGCAGAGTCAGTCCTGGGTAGAAAACTGCTAGAAAACCTATGATCAAAGAGTAGGCAATGTAAGAAGGTGAGCAAAAGTCAGATATCACAGTTAGTAAATGGAATATACTGGGTGGAAAAAAAGAAGGGGGCTTTTTATTTTAGCAACTCCAAAATTTTCTTTCATTACTTAACAATATTTCAACATACACTACTTCATGGTAGCATCTCTGCTGTAGTAAGCAGTGAAAATAAACTATAACTCAAAAAATTTATTAAAAATGTAATTTAAGTTCTGTCCATTTTCTTTTATCCACCCACTTAATACAGCATAGTTAAAAGCTAAAAACAAAAAACAAACAAATAATATGCATCAAGCGTAAGTGCATCAGGAAAAGAAGAGCTAATCTGTAATATGCTATAGAGAGAGAAGCAATCAGACATATTATACTAGGACTTCTAAATGAGAATTGAGTTACAGACAGTATATGTGTCATGGGTGCAAATCTCAACAAATACTGGACAAATGGCAACAGATCTGTAAGGCAGTAGCTTCATGTGATATCTATCGCAAGTGACCAATTCATGACTATATGGTGGTCAATGGAAATTCTCATCATGCTAAACACAATCAGGCAACACTTATTCCTAGGTGGTTTAAATAATGCATGTGTCAAACCCTGGCACACACAAGGCACATGCATGAAAAGTGATACACTGTGTATTACAACACTTTATGTATATTCCATTGGAACAATGTGTATGCATATTCAAGTATGCTTTATAATGTGAGATGTCACACTGCCAAAGGATATAAATCGTTTGACAACCAGTGATAATATAATTGTGCTCAACACCACACTCGTGGGAAAGTACTTCACATTAAAACTGCATTCACTGCAACACATGCATAAAATCTGTCATTTATTTTCCACAAACTTTTCAGCAGTTATATCTGTTGTGCAACAAGCATGCATCATAACACACCAGCAGCGTTTACAGTTAAATAAATACACTCAGATTCATGCAAAAACATACAAATTATAATCACAATAAACAATGATCAACATTTTACTGGTTTAGTGATATGTCATACATATTTTTAACATTAAAGCTAAAGGTCATTAAAACTTAATCACTATAATAAGACAAAAAATACAGCAATAATGATTCGAAAACTGATATACTTTTTTATGAAGGCATCATCATCGGTGCACATTTATCATGCATTGTGTAATATAAAATGTCATTTTAGAATATACTGAATTTTCAATGTCATGACAGGCACACAACTTACCAAATGCACTCTTGACCAGTACAGGCAAGTCCAGTTCGGCAGGTTCTCCAGTGCCTATGTCATTGACTGCTGACACACGGAAGAAGTACTCATTGCCTTCGATCAAGTTAGGGATAGTGTAACTGAACTTGGAGGCTGGGACACTTGTAACCTAATTAGGGAATATCATTAATCATTAAAATTATATAATAATATAACTTATATTGCAAATACATATGTTATATCACAAATGATATTTTATTTTCAAATCTTTGTTATTTTTCAAAGAAAACCATGCTCTCTCAAATACAGATTATATGTGAAGTCTTAAATCATACACCATATTGGGTTTCTTTGAACTTGAGCACCCTAAGATTGCAAAACAACAGTTTCAATTTCACAAAAAATTGTCAAAATATAATTCACATTAAGAAAAGCAAATATCAAGATATTTTTAATATTGTAGGACTTTCATTCTCATAAAGATAAATTACTATATGGCTGTCTTTAATAAGAGGAGGAAGGGAAATAGGAATTGACAACATTAATCATTTACCTTCATCCACGATGGTCTCTTGGCATCTCTTCTCTCAATGATATACGATGTCACCTCTTTACCACCATCATCTTTAGGCTTGGTCCACTCTAGGCTTACAGAGTCCTTGGACACGTTGGTCACTTTGAAGTCAGCTGGAGCTTGGGGTTTATCTGGAGTTGAGTAAATTTTAAAAATAATTTTGTTAAAATTTTTATCAAATGGGACCAAACTACATGCTACTGGGAAAAAACTGAAATAAACTATTTGCTTTCATTTCCAACTCAATTAGTAATATAGCTTTTTACTTCATTAAAATGCTCACTTTGTTTGACATTTATGGAGATATCTTTACTTACCAACCACCTCTACATCGATAGTAGCAGAGGCTTCCCCAGCTGGGCTCTTCAGCTGAAGGGTATATTCACCATCATCATCCAACTTGGCTTTTCTTATGGTCAGAGATGACGTGGAGTCAGTGTTCTCTATCACTACTCTGCCATCTGGAACAACTGGTTCACCATCTTTGAGCCAAACCACTTCAGGTACTGGGGAGCCACCAATGTTGGCAGACATCTTGAGGCTGCCACCGGTCTTAATGGACTGACCATCGCGCAATTTGCGGTCAAGATTGATTGTTGGTGGAACTGAAATATTAGGTGATCAGATTATGTTCATTTTATATGATGATAAGACGGATAATCTGTTTACTTTTTTATTATTTGAAAAATATAAAGCAAAACGTTCCCTTTACACTTTTCAAACTATGCACAACTGTTCATAATCTGTAAATGGCAAGATGATAATGATTATCACCTAAAAATTCCCTAAATCATTATGATAGCACTTCATGTCACAGATCAAATGATACTGTCAAATATTTTAGTGTATTTATTAATATGAAAATATTATTTAAAACATGTATATTGACAACACCACAAACTATCTTACCATTCACTGAGACTGCACATGATGTTGATACCAAAGCCAAAGTGTTAGACGCCTCACATATATACTTCCCAGCATCAGAGTCTGTGGTGTCCAGTATGGTCAATGTGGCCACACTGTCCACATAGCTCATGGCCACTTTCCTGCCTGGTAACAGTTCTCTGTTGTTCTTTTTCCTGGACATTGAAGTGTTGAAATGTTAACAATCTTCAGATCTTTTTATGACAAATAAATTAGAAATTAAAATACTGATCATTTTATTGTCCCACAAAAATGTTTTAAGTACAACCTAATTCGTTGATTAGATGTGAGAATGGGCCAAAAACAAAATTGCTGTTTACATACTCATTTAATGTTTAAAACACTTAATACACCACTATTGTTGTAAACACTATGCTAATATTCAGATAACACGAATGAAAGGTATTTGATGTATCATATTTGGTACGTCTTCACATCTATGCAGTCAATAAAAAATGGGTTCTTTTTAAGACTACACTTACCATTTAACTTGAGGTTCTGGAGATCCAAATATCTGACACTCCAGTTTAGTTGTCCCTCCAACAGCTGCGGCAACATCCTTCAATTGTTCCACAACTCTAGGAGCCTCTCCAGCTATAAGAGGAGAGATGATATTGAACACATATTTTGCAAGTGACAAAAGTGTTAAACTTCATCTTAAATATGTAAAAAATCTTTGTAACTGAATCTCAAATAAAAATATTTGAAAATCATGTCCAGTGCTCTTAGGCTTTATTCACATCATGCAATATGCCTCACTGGACCACCTCACTTTGACAGTTCCTAACGTGTAATTACACTGTACAGAGTTTTACTCCCTTTCACAAGTTTGGTTATTTAGTTTTAGTTGATTAATTGGTGGTATCTGTGCTGTAGCTCTGTTTTGGTGACTCTCTTAAATACTAGCCAGGCTATTAAGTTGTCAATCTCTCAAAGTAGACTGTACATACAAATAACACAAACAATAATGAAATTCTATGCTGATTAAATAGAAATATATTCTCCTTACTTGTTCTGTCCTCAGCCACAATCTGTCTTGAAGGTGATGATGGCTGACTGCGGCCAGCTTTGTTTTCAGCAACTACTCTGAACTCATACTTCTCTCCTGGCTGCAGATCTTTCACTGTGTACACTGTGTCTGGTTCCTTCAAGTTAAGGCTGGTCCAGCGGAACTTCACAGTAGATTTGACCTCGATGTCGTACCCTGTCACAGGGCTGCCACCATCTTTTTCCGGGGTTGACCACTTCAGTGTTGCTGTACGTTTTGTGATGTCAGTCACCTCAGGTGCAGCTGGAGCATCTGGGGGATCTTGATATTCAGAAAAATCATTATTACTTTACATTATGCATTATAAATTTTATTTACTTGACTGACTGAGTGACAAAGTTGTAAGTAATTTCTTTTATCACAATAAATCAAATTTGGTAAATTTTTAGCAAATTTGTTAAAAAAGAACTGACATAAAGGATGGCAATTGTAAATGTACAATCATTTCTCAAATCATACACAAACTGATGCAAATCTGATCAATTACTGCACCGAACAACAAATCATGCAGTTATTAGTACATTTATTTCTGAAACTGCAGAGCCTCACCGAATGGCTCTTTGACCAGCACTGGTCCCAGCTCCTCAGAGGGCTGACTCAGCCCAGCCTCATTCTCTGCCAACACCCTCAAACAATACTCCACACCTTCCCTGACATCAGTGATGTCATATTCTATATCGTCAACCAGCTTTCTATTGATTCTGATCCATTTAGTACTGGTTGCCACACGACGCTCAATGACGTAACCTTTGACGTCAGCACCCCCGTCATTCTCTGGGGCATCCCATGCAAGGGTTATGTGTGACTTGCTCACTTCAAACACTTCAAGGTTTACTGGGGGTCCTGGTACATCTGAGGGTTAATAACATGGATTGTGAGGCATGCAAAGGTGAAAGTGAACAATGTGAAACACAGCAAATATATCCAATGGGTTACTTTGAATTGATAACTCATGTGTTAGTTGCTTTAATGAAAAAATATTATATTGGTGAATTCATTTTCATTGATTTGTGTAAAATGAAACAACAGCAAATATATGCAATGGGTTAGTTTAAAATCATGACTTCATGTGTTAGCTGCTTTAGTCTTCCATAAAATAATTTTGTTTAATACATCGTCATTCATTTGTCAATAAGGGTGAGGATGTGATATATAGCTCCCAATTTTTGAATGTGACACATAGCTCCCAATTTTTAAGTTATATGTCCTGATAAGTTAGATGAGGTTAGTTAAATTATTGTGTCTCTGTGGTATAAATTTATATGGAAAAGGATTCAGACCACAATGACTTATCTTTATTCAAATGTTAAAAGTTAAATATTACAAAAAAGAAAACAATGAAATGTTAAACAGGATGCAAATAAATGTGAAAGCACATTAAGTAAACTTTCATATGATAAAATGTTTCCATCCATACCAGGTGAAACAGTAACACTTTAGTTCTTGTTTCATCACATATATTATTAATTTTTAATGGGAGTTTAGTCACAGCAAAGTAATCAAAGTGAGAAAATGTGAAAATACACATAGTAAAACAGAGCAAACCATATACATAGTAAGATGAATTAAACATATATACCACTTACCGAATGGAACCTTAGCTGTGACTGGTTCCTTGAGCTCTGCTGGGGGCCCAGTGCCCAGTTGGTTACTGGCAGATACACGGATGTAATACTTGTTGCCTTCCAGTAGTTTGGTAATCATGAATTCAAATGTGCTGCCACCTACAGTTCCTGCCTGTGTCCAAGTTTGTCTGGAGGCATCTCTTCTTTCGATTATGTACTCTTTGATAGGGGAGCCACCATCGCTTTCTGGTGGTTGCCAGGTGACAGTGATGTAATTCTTATTGGTTTCTTTCACTTGAAGATTTGTAGGAGCAGAGGGTTTTCCTGTAATAATGACCTCAAAGTCTGCTGTGTCTTTGCCCACGTCATTTTCTACAACAACAGAATATTTTCCGCCATCTTCTTTTGTCAGTCCTTTGAGATTTAATGTTGATGTTCCATCTCTTGTCTGTACTGTAAGTCTGTGAGACTTCTCCACTGGTTTGCCATCGTGTAACCATGTGATCTTGGGTTCTGGAACGCCATCTATGTCCACTGAAAGCGTGGCTGATCCTCCTTCCTTCACCTTCAGAGGTTCACGCAATTTGTTGTCATACTCTAGTTTGGGAGGCACTGAAATAGCAATTACCATAAGAAATCAGCTAAATATTGCATGACGTAAATACATATTACTATCAGAACAATGACATGTATAATTTATTTGAGTAATAAAAAGGTTAAAATTAAGTTCAAATGTAACACTGATTCTTTTTGTAAAATTTCAAATAAAATTTTACAATTGAGATCTAATTTTTGAATCATTTATATTCCCATTAAATATTTTTGAGATTTTTCTTGCATTTGATCATAAACATCAAGCTCCCCATATCTATTCTACTACAACTAACCCACCCACCTTGTACCCTGAGTTCTCCAACACTCTCCACTTTGCCCAAGGCATTGGTGGCCACACACTTGTACTTCCCAGCATCAGCAGGTTCAGTATCATTTATAACCAGGGTGGCAGTGTTGTTCTTATACTCAGTCTTGTATTTTCCATCTGTCTGGAGTTCCTTGCCCTCCTTAAACCACTTGATTTCAGGCTCAGGCTCTCCTGGTGAGATCTTACACTTCAGGGTGGCTGGCTCAGGGGAAATTACAGCCATGTCTGTTATTTTTTCCACCAGTTCAGGTGCTTCCCCACCTAAAAAATTTAAAAAATTGAATGAATTAAAAGTTTTACTCCAAGACTTGATACTCAAAAAAAAAAAAAAAAAAAAATATATATATATATATATATATATATATATATATATATATATATATATATATATATATATATATATATATATATATGTGGAATAGCATATGGTAAAAAGAATTATCCAATTACATTAGTTTTATAGTTTTATTTACAAGTCAAGAAGAAAAGTGACAGGTGAAATCAGCCCTTAAAGTGAAATATTCGTTGTCAATTAATTTTGAATTCCTGATACATGACAAATTTACAAGAATGCATTAGGCTGTTTTGTTATACTTATGTATTTTATTAATTTTAGTTTGTTTGTATAGTAAATGTACCATTTTACTAAAAATCCATCAAACAAAACAGTACTCACTGATAGGCTCTCGGACAGTCACAGCACGGGACACTTCAGATGGTGGTCCTGTCCCTGCTTTGTTCTCAGCACTAACTCTAAACTCATAGCTATCTCCATCTCTCAGCTTCTCCACAACCAATTTGGTTTCTGCCACGGTCTCCTCTGTGGCTTTCAGCCAACGGAAAGCCTCGGTGGCTTTGTATTCAACAATGTAGTTCAGGATTGGGCTGCCGCCATCATTGCTTGGTGGTGACCATGACAGGGTGACAGTTGAAGATGTGATTTCTTCAACCTCTGGGGAGCCAGGTTTACCTGGTTTGTCCCATGGGTCCTTGGCTTTGAAAGGTGAAGACCCCTCGCTTGGCTTGCTCTCTCCTGCTTTGTTGACTGCTATGACTCGGTACTGGTATTCACTGCCCTCCATCAGGTCTGTGGCCTTGAAAGTTGTCTCCTCAATGGCATCATGGACTACTCTAATCCACCTGACACCTGGTGCGGCACAGCGTTCAAGGAGATAACCAATGACTGGAGAGCCACCATCTTTGCTAGGTGGTTGCCATGAGACAACTGCTGAATCTTTAAAGATGTCTGAGATGGTTGGAGCTGCTGGCGCACTAGGGACAACTAGACAGCAAAGACAAAAATTTCATTCCTTTTTTGATATTGAGATGTTAATGAAATAATTTAAAGTTGACAAAGAAAAAATTTTCTCAAAATGTAATGGGACAACATATAAAACATATTTAAAATCAGCTTTAATTTTTCTAAGTTGCATCATAAGCCACTGCATCGTGAGTAAAAATATTATTCAGATTCAGTTATATACTTTCAAATTAATCTTGCATCATAAGTCATTGCATTGTAAGTAAAACTATTATTCAGATTCAGTTGTATACTTTCAAATTAATCTATCAATCTTGTGCACTTTGACAAATAACTCACCGAAAGAACTCTTTGCTAATACAGCCTGTGCTATTTCAACTGCTGGTCCAGTCCCTTGTGCATTTTCCGCACTGACCTTGAAGACATATTTGTTGTTCTCAACCAGATTAGTGACAGTGAACTCGGTCTCTGTTGAGGATCCAGCTGGCTGCCATGTTCTACGAGTTTGTTCACGTTTTTCAATGATGTATCTGATGATGTTGCTTCCTCCATCGTCTTCAGGCTCAGCCCATTTCAAGGAGATGGAATTTGATGTGGCCTCTGGAGAAGTCAGGTCATGGATAGGACCTGGTTTGTCTGAAAATATTGAAGAATTTTTGGTTAAACACAGAGCTGGTTGTGTTGGGTGGGACTGAGCTTATATAATGTCACAAGAGTCATTTCATGAAAATACTAAATTTTATCATGATATACGAGTTATACTACTGCAAATGTCTTCTATGTAATCAAAAGTACTAACACCAGATATTTATTTGAATATAACTGCTGCAAACAAATCCCTCAACCATTCAGATCACTCAATACATAAAAACAAAATTGCCCAAACAAGCAAATTAATATTAATCATAATAACATTTTGATGTTGTAAACATGCTACTTACCCAACACCACCACCTTGATAGTTATGCTTGCTTTCCCACTGGCATTTTCCAACTTCAGCATGTACTCCCCGGAGTCTGATCTTTTCACCTTGGTCAGGGTGAGTGCTGTCATATTCCTGATGGTTTCCTCCTTGGCTGGCTTAGTTAGTGAGGCACCATTGAAAGTCCAGGTAACTGTGGGTTGAGGGTTGCCAGAGAAGGGGATCTCAAACACTGCAGAGGCTCCTGTTTTCAGGGTGATTGCCTCCTCATAGGACTCCTCAGACAGGATAACAGGTTGAGCTGGAAGGAGGGGGAGGGATGGAGATTAGGGACAGTGTTTTAATTGTGTTAGGTCTGAAGTACACTTGTGTGATAACGTGATAGGTGGTGGGTGACAGTGCCCTTTATATGATTATGTGGTATGTGGTGACAATGTTCTTGGTGTGATAGTGTGATAGGTGGTGACAATGTTCTTGGTGTGATAATATGATAGGTGTGATAATTAACTTTCTACAAATGGGCAACTACTTGATGATGAGCTTGATGTGCCAGCTCTGTAAATGTGATAATGTGTTAGGTGTGACCATTTGAAAAGTGTGAAAGTGCAAGATACACATAATAGTGTACTAACAACAGTGCACTGGACATACTGAATGAAAGTGCTGAAATGACTGTATGGTTAATTAGTAACTAGCTGAAAATAACTAAATGAATATGTTGTGCCATAAATGTTTAGTTACATCCTGTACTGTGCACACAAAATACACACAAAGACATGGACTGGAAATCGAAAGTTCAATCTGTCAAATGATATGGATATACTATACATTTAAGCATTCTGAAATTGGGAAATATTAATACTCATAGAACCAAGACAATACTTACTGTATTATTATCAGACACACAAAGATTCAAAAATAAAATATGAGTAGTAAAACACGACCTACCTGCCACTGTAAGGGTCGCTTTTGACTGTCTTCCTCTTGCAGACAGAGCATACTCTCCCTCATCCTCTCCATCCACATCTTTGATGGTGAGAGTATGCTTAACTCTCTTACTATCCTTCTCAATCTTATATTTCTCAGATGGGGTGACAATCTTCCCTCCTCTTAGCCATGCTATGTCCACAGGTCTGGAGATTTCACATTCAAACACTGCAACTCCTGGGATCTGTTTGACAGTTATGTCCTTCAGGGGCACCACAAATTCAAAGTCCTCAGCTAGAAAGACAGAAGAAAATGCACAGATTTATCAATAGTTTCAACATATGTAGAGTCATACTAGAGTTGTATTTAAACCACATCTATCTAAGATATGCCTAAGTCATTTATTTAAGCAAGTTTGCATTAATTTGACAAAGAAAATTAATACAAGGAAAATCAAAACTATTTGTGAGACATTAATATTAAAAGAATACTGATATTATCGTTTTTTAGTCTACTTGCAGTACATACCCTCAACCTCGAGAGTAGCATCAGATGTCTGGTCCTCCACTTTAATAGTAAAGTTACCAGCATCATCAGGCTGGACATCAGTGATGGTCAGTTTGTGTTTATTTCCATCAGATTTCATGGTGTAGCGGTCACTTGGGGTGATAGGTGTGTCATTCTTAAGCCACTGTGGTTTCTGGTTGGGTTTATTGATCTCACATTCCATGGTGACAGTTTCGCCCTCTTTCACTGACTGTCCAGTGAGAGGTGTGACAAATTTAATTGGAACTGCAAAAAATGGTGTTTAACATATTTTAAATCTATTTTAATTTCTTTTTTAAATATCATATTTAAAAAGTTAAATAGCATTTTGCCTCTGTTCTGTTTAGTTTTAAATGCCACAATTATGTGAGTGACAAAAATTCCTACCATCATTGTAAGATAATACGAGTAATCCTGTCAATAAACCATCTGATGATAAAGAAACAGGTCACATAAGTTACAGATATAATATCTTATTGAAATAGGAAGTGTAGTTATTCTTACCAAATGGCACCTTGGCAACAATGTTGCCTGTAGTTTCAGATGGTTTGCTAAGACCTGCTGCATTTTCTGCACAGACACGGTACTCGTACTCATTGTTCTCAATCAGATCTGTCACCTTGTATGTTGTCTTTGTGACTGGCATTTTGTTCACTTTAACCCAACGAGAACTTCGAGCCTGCCTGCACTCTATGATGTATCCAGTGATGGGTGAACCACCATCTTTTTCTGGTGCTTTCCACTCGAGAGTGAGTTCCTTCGTGCTGATATCTTTGGCAGTAAGGTCAGTAGGTGCATCTGGTACATCTGTAAATCACAAAAATCATCTTGTAAGAAATCAACAGAAAAGGTAAAAAGATTTAGCAAACATATAGCATAGCATTATGTGAATTTAAATATAAAAATAAAAATATAAAATAAAACATCTTACCAAATGGTAATTTGGCAGTCACTGGTTCCATGAGCTCCACAGGCTCTCCAGTGCCAATTTTGTTCTTGGCTGATACTCTAACATAGTACTGATTACCCTCCACCAGTTTTCCAACTGTAAAAATACAGGTGCTGCCATCTACAGTACCAGCATTGGTCCATGTAGCTCGGTTGGCATCCCTGCGCTCAATGATGTAGTTTGTTATAGGGGAGCCTCCATCATCAGTTGGTGGTTGCCAGGCAACTGAGATGCTATCCTTGTTATAACTTGTTACCTCTAAGTCTTTGGGTTTAGAGGGTTTGCCTGAAATGGAAAGTGTTTGTAGCAATCTAATATTACAAACTACATATTCAACCAAGTTTAAAGAATATAAGAAATAAAAGTGTCAACAATTACTATTTCTTTGATAACAGTACTACACAAACATGAGTCTTAATCTTTTGGCCATTCCTTAGCAATAATAAAATGAGGTGAAATTATTTGGCACTTACATGGGAACATGCTAATTTCTTTAACTGTTTCTTTCTTTTAAAAAAGGAAACAATAAATACCCAAGATTCTAGAGACTATAAAACAAATAATCAAAATTACCTGAAATATTGACTTCAAAGTTAACCTCTTCTTTTCCTGCGGGGTTCTCTGCCACAACAGTGTACTGACCAGCATCTTCAGCCTTGACCTTCTTCACTGTTACAGTGGACATAGTATCTGTGGTTTTGACTGTCACACTGTCTGCTGGTTCACCATCTAATAACCAAGAAATCTGGGGTTTGGGTTCTCCAGAGAACTCCACTCTCAAAGTGAGGGTCTCCCCTTCTTGTAGACTCTTAGACAGTTGTGATTTGTCATACTTCAACTCTGGTTTAGCTGTGTAAAAAGTTTGAAGTTTTGCTTGAATTCCTTAAGAATTGAATAATAAATGCCAACAAAACAGGAGGAAAAATGGAATAGATTGTGTACATTTTGACTGAAAAAATAAGCATACACAGAAAACACTACTACCTTACAATAAGTTACAGAAAAAGATACTTAAATGTTGTAAATATACTTGTTGACTATTAAAAAGCATAAAAATTTACCAAAAAAAGAGACAAACATTCCTATCTTATAATTGTGATCAGCCAGTTTAGCTTGAGTGTCAAAATTTCCAATTACAATAAATACTACACCTTACCTTGTACTGTCAATTTAGCCTGTGTGGTCACTTTCCCTATCTTATTGGCTACCTCACACCTGTACTGCCCACTGTCCTTGAGGTCTGTCTCCAGGATGACCAGTGCAGCCACTTCCTCAGCATAGCTGATTTCATACTTCTTCCCTGATTTGATCTCTTTGTTGTCCTTAAACCTACAGTATAAAAAGTTCTACTTTAAATTTTTTTACCAAAATACATGTTAAGTTACTGCAGTGCTTTTAAAAAGTTTTTAAGTACATCTTGGAGATATTTTTAAATTTAATGAATATGTTATTAAAATCTCTATTACAATTGGAAAGTAATGATGTGATTTCCATGTCAATCAAAGCTGAGAAGGTTAAAAGTTGATTATATAAACTATTGCAGGTTCACTGTACTGTTTGGGTAACTTACCATGTAATTTCAGCCTCTGGTTCTCCAAGTGAAATGTCACATGACAGAGCAGCCTTTTCAGGCATCACTGCTGTCACATCAGACATTGGGCTGAGAAGTTCTGGAGCTGTGCCAACTAGAAAACAGTCACAATATCAGATCATTTACCAAATATACATCTCAGAAGAAATATACCCATGACAATTCTCCATAATAATCTTTACTAATGTTTTAGTGATATTAAAGACTTACTCTGGGACAAAAATAGTAGTGAAGCAGCTGATTCACTATTGTTCATGTTTCCAAGTGATCAATATCACTTAAACATCAGTAAATACAATTCCTTACAACCATGAACAATCTAACTGACAATATGATCATTTTCTTAACTTACTTTTTATTTTGTTATACAAGTGAGATGTCATCCTATAACTGTATCCTAGAAATAATTTAATTGAACTTTAACATGTAGCACTGTCAGGAAAACTATTCCCAAGCAATGTATCTGATAAACTACCAACTCAGCATTATTAACCAAAAACCCACCAACAGGTTCCTTGACGATGACAGGTTCAGACACTGGTGATGGCTCTCCAACACCAGCTTTGTTTTCAGCAGAGACACGGAATTCATATTCTGAGTCTTCCTTGAGCCCTGTTACTGTGTGAGTGGTATCTGACACCTTTTCTGGTACTTTGGTCCACCTGACACTGCTCTTCATTTTGTATTCAATGACATAGTTGCTGATTGGTGCACCACCATCATCCTCAGGCTCAGTCCAGGTCAAGGTCACAGAAGATTTTGTGATGTCGCTGACCTCTGGCTTGCCAGGTTTGCCTGGTTTTACTGAAAGAATTAAGTGTCAGAGAGTTCATTAAATGTCATACTTTCACCAAAAATTACAGTGGAAATTGAAAATGTCATATTCCAGGAAGACAATTCTAATATAGCTTCTCCTATGAAAAATTACAATATTCACTTTAGCAGAATAAAAACAGTGCAATGAAGTGAATATAAATCAAATTGCCTCTTGTCCATTATCTCAAATGAAATAAAATCGATAAGTATAATATCAAACATTCCATACCAAACAGATCCTTGGCCAGCACAGGTTGTTTGATTTCAACAGGTTCACTGACACCACATTCATTCTTAGCACGGACTTGGAAAGTGTACTTGGTGTCTTTCTTCAGCCTAGGGACAGTGAGCTCCAGGTCTGGAGTCTGCCCAGCATCTTTCCATGCCCTCATGGTCACTTCCTTCATCTCCATGAGGTAGCTTGTGATATCACATCCTCCATTGTCCTCTGGTTCTGTCCACTTCAGAGTGACCTCTTGACTGGACACCTCTGCTGCTTTGAGGTCCCTGGGAGGTGAGGGTTTGTCTGAAACATCAGAAGAAGGTTGTTACTTTACTTTTAATTAACTGAACGAAATATCTAATATACATGTATATTTTATAAATCTTCAAATTATAAATTTAAATATATATGCAAATACACATACATAAAATCCTGTGAGTAAAAAATTTCAACCCTCATATTAACTTTTAAAAGTAGAAATTTGGCCAATATTTTTTTCCTCATCAAAGACATCACTTATCATATCTTCCATGATATCAAATAAAGCCCTTAAAATATGGTATTGATTCCACTCAGCACCTCCTCACCTAGTACATTCACATTGATGGTGATGTCAGTCTTTCCACTGGGGTTGTCCAAGGTGACAGCGTATCTGCCTGTCTCCTTCCTCTGGATCTTCGTCACTCTTAGGCAAGTCATGTTGCGGATTGTCTCCACTTTGAACCTTTTCTCATCAGGCAAGGGTCCATCATTGAATGCCCAGCTGACCTTTGGCTGGGGATGGCCAGTGAATGGGATCTCAAATACTTTAGATGACCCTGCCTTTAGTGTCACTGTCTCTTCAAGTGATTTATCCACCCTGATCAGTGGGGGAGCTGGAGAAAATGTAAATAATAATAATAATAATAATGATGATGATGATGATGATGGTGGTATCATTTTAGCCACTTAGCTAACAATTATTAAAATAGTTTTATATTAAGTGCATGTAGCAACTGACGTAAACAGTTATTAAAAAAATATGATTTAATCTCAGTTATAGTGTGTGTTTCAACTATACACACCTTGCACGTGTAAGTTAGCAGTTGATTTCTTGCCCTTGATTGCAATGCTATACTCTCCCTCATCCTCATCATCTGCTTCATTAATGGTCAATTTGTGGACAGTGGTGCCATCTACACTTATGCTGTACTTCTTTGATGGTGTGATGGGTTTGTTATCATGCATCCACTGTACTTGGGTGGAGGTAGTCAGTTCACATTCAAAGACAGCAGTTCCTGGGATCTCTTTTACTGTCACATCCTCAAGGGTTCTGATGAAATCTATCTTCTCTTCTGTAAATGAATAATACAAATAAAAACACTGCTACTTTGATCTGGATAATGACTATGAAAGACATCGATTTGTCATATACTTCTTCATACAATTTATAAATGAACACTCTTAAATATCACATTTATTTTCTTTATAGAGCATTACAAATAAGTGCTTAATCATTTAGACATTTATTTTTATAATAAAGTTTGAAGAATGTTTCTCAAACCTTCAACTGAAAGCAGAGCAGCTGATGTTTTGTCGTCAATCTTCACAGAATACTGTGCTTCATCTGCCTGTTCTGCACTAGCAATCACCAGACTGTGTACTGTGCCATCTACAATGATTTTAAACCTGCCACCACTTTTGATTGGCCTGCCATCTTTGAGCCACTTGGCATCCATATTTGGTTTGTTGACCTCACACTGTAAGGTGGCTGTCTCTCCTGACTTGACTGTGACTTCTGACAGTGGAGTTGTAAACTCAACAGCAACTGAAAGAAACAAAATGTCTAGCATACATGTCTGTATATAATATTTCTTTAACACAAGTCAATTAAGCTGGCGAAGAGCATGAAGTAACATTATAAAGGAACTTTGCATAAGCAGTGATTCAAAGTTACTTGGTCTCAGCTCCATATGAATAAATAAGTTTCTATAAAATAGAAATTTGCACTACTATGCTGTCAGGCTCTGTAAACAGAAGTGTATTATTAGACTGAAAATGAAAGTGTTCAAAATGACAATAGGTGAAGTCACAAACACTTAAAAATTTAATGCATTAATCCTTACCTTTTGGTGTCACTGCCTTGATTTTGCCAGTGGTGTTGGATGGCTTCCCTACTCCAGCTTTGTTCTCAGCAGACACCCTGAAATTATACTCAGTGCCCTCTATGACGTCATGAACTTTGAATGTGGTCTCCAGGGTGTTCTCTTTGTTAACCTTGGTCCAGGTCGTCCTGGTGCCCATTTGGCGCTCAATGACATAGCTAGTTATGGGGGAGCCACCGTCTGACTCTGGAGCCTGCCACTGGAGGGCAATCAGGTTCTTGTCTACCTCCATTGCCTGGAGATTTGTAGGAGTGCCAGGGACATCTAAATGACATAGTGAATGTATTAGAGCTACTGATAAATCAAGACTTTTTGTTTAATAACTTAAATAAGTCTTACCTCCTAATACACATATACTTACTAACATAAAGACGCACTTAGTATCAAAGTAAGGATACCAGACTTTATATTTTTCATAGCAATTTTATATAGAATTCATTATTGACTCTTCATTGACTATATTTTCATTATTTATAACATAATGTAACAATTACTCACCATAAGGCAGTTTAGCTGTAACAGGTTGTGTTAACTCTACAGGTTCACTGACACCAATTGCATTCTCTGCTGAAACTCGTACAGTGTACTCCTGACCTTCAAGTAACCTCGTAAGGGTGAAGGTCAAGGTATTTCCATCAACCTTTCCAGCATTTGTCCATGAAGTCTTCCTGGTTTCTTTTCTTTCAATGATGTAGGTTTTGATAGGTGAACCACCATCATTCTCTGGGGGTTGCCAGTTCACTGTGATGGAGTCTTTATTGTAATCTGTCACTTCAAGGTTTTTCGGTGGGGATGGTTTGCCTAAAGTCCATAAATGACTATTACCAACACATTTTCCAATGTTTAAAAAATGATATGTCAAACAGAGAGACAGAATGACTCCTACGCTGATAAAAACGAAGGTTACATTATTTAAATTTGATACTGTTTAAACTTACCTTGAATGATTACTTCAAAGTCAGCAGTTGCTTGACCAACAACATTCTCTGCGACCACCCTGTACTTCCCAGAATCATCTGCAACAACATTTTTCACACGGAGGCCAGATGTGGTATCAGTAGTTTCTATGGCAACAGCTGCTGATTTCTCCATGGGCTCCCCATCCAGAAGCCAAGAGATAGTAGGGGTGGGGGTGCCACTCACTTCCACCTTCAGGCTGAGTGTGGATCCAGATTTCAGGGTCTGAGGCCCTTGGTACTTGTTGTCATAGGTGATGTGAGGGGCCACTGAATAATGAAAAACACCAAGACTTAGGTTTTAAGTCATATTGCACTATTAATCAACAGGCAAACTATTACAGTGAGCCAAAGAAAAAAGGAGACAGACAAAATATTTGAATAAATGAATGAATAAAAAGAGGTCATGTATACAAAATTCTTATTTCTAATTCATAATAGAACAAACAACACACAACTTTCATGAACCATGTAAGATTTGTTCATCTTAGTACTGTGGAAACTCAGTGATCACAATAAACACACTAGTAGGTGTGGCTGAGAGAGAGAGAGAGAAGAGATTATTACAATGAGACAATGCCTGTGGTTGAAAGATAAATTTATGAGTCATGAGAAAGCAAACCTACCATGTACGGTCAGAGAGGCTTCAGTGTCCACCTTTCCAATGGCATTGCTTGCTTCACATCTGTACTTTCCAGCATCTCCAGTACTGGTCTCCTTAATGACTAGCTCAGCCACTTCATCCACATAGTTCATCTCATATTTCTTGCTGGGAGCAATCTGCTTGCCATCTTTGAACCTGAAACAATATCATGAAAAATTAGATAAGTATTTTTTACATTTGATTTTAAAAAAGAAAAATATATTCATCAATAAAAAACCTTTTATCCTGACAATTCATAAACAAAAAACCCTTTGATATTCAATAATACCATTTACTTCAAAAATATTTTAATCCAATCTTAGTTATAGGGGTAAAGTTTTAAGTAATAGGGTTAAATAGTATAGTACTCTGTCATTACATCTCTCCTAAGTTGAAGACCTTACTCTGAAGTTAGTAACTGCAGTAAGTCCATACTAACCATCTAATCTCAGCTTCAGGTTCACCAGGGGCAATATCTGCCTCCAGTAGAGCTTCCTCAGGTACCACTGCAGTCACGTCATGCATACCCTCCACCAGGACTGGAGGTGTGCCAACTGGAAGAAACACAACTTTTAATATATATAGTGTTAATTCAATCAAATCAGGCTAAAGACTTTGAAAAATCCATGCTCTTTTTTTTAGAATAAGTCCAGCCTTAAATCTACTATTCAATAGCCTTGGACCTGACAGAAAACGTAAAAGCAGCATTGTATCTCCATGTAGAGGTATTTTCCCAAGTGACAGGTATTTAATTTCACAAACAGTTTTTTAAATTTACAGTTCACTTGTTTGCAAATTACTTTACTTGTAATTTACAGAATCAGCTGGACAATATTCTAAGATGTGACCATGAATACGTCAAAACACAATTTCAAAACTAGTCAAAGTTCTCACAATAACACCCAATGAATATTTAAACCTACCAACTGGCTCCTTAATATTAATGGTATCTGTGGCATCAGATGGGGGACCAATGCCAGCCTTATTCTCTGCACTGATCCTGAACTGATAGTCTTTCCCCTCGCTCAGTCTGGTCACTGTGTATGAAGTATCAGGGACAGGTTCTGTATTTGCTGTGGTCCACTTGAACACTCCAGCACCCTTGTATTCCACAACATAGCTGGTAATGGGGCTGCCTCCATCAGACTGTGGGGGACTCCAGTTGAGAGTCACTGAATTTTTGGTGATGTCTGTGCATTGAGGAGTGCCTGGTTTACCTGGCTTGTCTGAAAATAAGGATAACGACATATTCAGTCTCTTGGTTTGTCACACCTTTTTTACCTGTAGAGTCTAAGATGAGAGCAAATCAGGTGAGTGGCTTATCACACCTTGAACACCTTGTGCCAAACTGCCCCTAGGGTAGGGACTGAATGAAACCAAGACAACTTTTCTACACTAATGAAATCTAACTGTTAACTGCTCATCATTAGTGTCTGGTAAAAGACTTCACATTAAAGATTGCCTGCTAATGAGTTGCTTGCTTGTTAAATCTTCATACAAATGTACAGATAAATTTGATAAAATGGTACTGATTTCACACCACAAGTAAAACTATGACAAGAGACATAACGATTAACTTTGTCAATACAAATTTGAGCTTACCATATGGGCATTTGATTAGTACTGGTTCTTTGAGAGTCACTGGCTCACTGACACCTTGGTCATTCTGTGCCATTACACGGAAGTAAAGTTGACTACCCTCGATCAAATTAGTGACTTCAAGCTCTCGTTTCTTGACAACATCGACTTTTTGCCATGACTGACGTTTAGCATCACGTTTCTCTATGATGTACCCAGTGATGTCACTTCCACCATTGTCCTCAGGTTCTTCCCAGGTGAGAGTGACAGAGCTGCTGGTGACATCTGCGACTGTCAGCTCACGTGGTGGGGATGGTTTGTCTGGATAATGATATCATATAGATAAAAAGTTTTCAATACCCTATATCTATTCTACATGCATTTATATGCATATAAAATTCAGGCAAATAATACAAATTTAAAACAGTAACAAATTTTACCTGTAATTTAAAGAAAAACTTTTGATACTTACCTAGTACATTTAGCCTGATAGTGACAGTGGACTTTCCAAATGGATTCTCCAGGGTAAGTTCATAGTTTCCAGCATCTTGTCTTATCGCCCTGTTGACCGTCAAGCATGTCATGTTACGGATGGTCTCCACCTTCATCCTGGCTGGTTCAAGCGCCCCCTGTTGGAATGTCCAGTTAACAGAGGGTTGTGGAGCACCAGTGAATGGAACTTCGAAAATTGCAGATTTACCTGCCTTGATGGTGAAGACATCTTGGAACTTCTCATCAAGGAAGGCTTGCGGAGGAACTGCAAAGATAACAGAAAATGATTAGACTAACGCATCTGGGATTGAACTTAAGAAATATTACAATAATGAATACGAATTATTTTCATAAAAGGTGAAAATGAAAATGATGAAGAACATAGTGCCAATACAATTGTCATACTTTCACCAATAATAAATTAATTTTTAGCACATGACAAAACAAGATAAATTTATAATTTTAACTCAGAATATTGGTCATACAATGTATTAACCTTTTTTTTTGGAATGCAATTTATTACCTTCTACAGACAACTTAGCAGTTGATTTCTTGTCTTTGGCTACCACAGAGTAATCCCCATCATCTTCATCATCCACCTCCTTGACCAGCAGCTTATGGACAGGGCCCTCGGAGACCATCTTGTGTTTGTCACTGGGTCTCAGAGGTTTGTCACCTTGCAGCCACTGGATGGGGACATCTGGTTGGTTGAGCTCGCACTCAAATTCTGCAGAGCCAGGTATTTCAGTAACCGTTGTATCCTCTAGCTCTTTTGTGAATTCTACTGCTATTTCTAAAAATAATAAGAAAAGAGATTGTCAGCAAATGCAGCAGTATCATACTTTTTTTAAAAGAAAAATGAAAATCTATCAAACATAAGACTTTAAACTTAAAAATAAAAATTCACAATTAAATTTTGTTCCAATATTTTTGCTAATAATACATTTACACCAAATATTTTCAATAACAAATGGTAAAAATTTGTTGAAAAAAAATTTTAATCTATGCATTGTGCAAACTGATACATGGTCAAAATTGCCACAAAATACTTCTCACCTTCTACGAAAAGTTTGGCTGAAGATTTCTTATCTTCTATGATGACTGTGTATTCTGCTTCCTCCTCCAAGGAGACATCTTGTATTGTCAGAGTGTGTGTAGTTCCATCCACACTAATAGCAAACTTGCCACCATGCTTGATAGCTCGTCCATTTTTCTGCCACCTTGCTGTCTTGTCTGGTTTGTTGACCTCACATTCAAAGGTAACTGTGCCTCTGACTGGAGATGTGACATCTGACAAGGGCTTCATGATTTCAAATGGTGCTTCTGAAATATAAAAATGTTGGTAATTAGTCTGTCCATGCTTTTGAGATCCCAAGAACAGTTGTAGAAATTAATACACAAATCGATAATGAAACACTGAAAATAAAACATTTTAAGTATAAGTTTGTAGTACCAAATATATCTGTCAAAGTTCTTTTTTATCAACTTTTATTTTAATTTAGGTCTATTTTCAAATGAAAAGTAATTATCAATCTATGCTTATAACATTTCACCTTTCACTGTAAGTTTGGCTGTGGTTTTGTCTCCAGATGGCAGCACACAGCTGTACTGAGCAGTATCATCCAACTGTGCATCAGTTATAGTCAGATTTACATCAACACCTTCTGCGCTGATCTGATACCTGCCACCATCTTGGATTTCTTTGCCCTTTTTCTCCCAATGTACTGGGGTGGGTTTGGACAGTTTGCATGTGAATTCTACTGTTTCTTTCTCCAAGACCTTGGTATCCTGAAGACCAACAGTAAACTCAGCAGCAATTTCTGAAAATGAAAAACCAAGAAAGTTCAAACATAAAATTTAATTATAACAACTGCAACTATTCAGTTTCCTCCTCATATTTCATAATAGGCAACATCTTTCAGGATCAGCTTCTGAAACTAAAAATCAAAAGGCATTACCACATTTCCTAAAGAATGAAAATAAGATTAACAGAGTTTTAAAAGTTCTAGCATGCAAAATGCCTTGAAAAAAATCACACTTACCTGAGAGCAACCCCATACTTTTTATGTTTTGCTATAAAATAAGTTTAAACTCTTGTTCTCCAAATAATTATGCTTTCAATCCCAATGCTCACCTTCAAAAAGCAGAGAAGCAGACGACTTTTCATCACCAAATCTTACTGTGTACTCTCCCCAATCCTCATGAGTCACATCATATACTGTCAAAGCATGCACTGTTCCCTCAGTTTTCATGTCATACTTATCACCTGCTGTCAACTCAGTGTCATCTTTATGCCATGCAGGTGACACTGAATTGGTGGAAGTTTCACAGACAAATGTAGCAGTTGTTTCATTCTTGGATTGGAGGACATTTGTTAGGGGTCTGATGATTGTACCTAATGGCTCATCTGGAAGCATGCAAGTTAGTAGTTTGGTATATGATCTACAAAATAATTTAGTCAACAAATGCATATTTAATGATGCAGTGCAATTTGAGTAATAAGGCAAT